CTGTTAACACATGTTTCCAAATTCCATTCAAGCATTTAACAGTAATATTTTCCTGAGTAGAAGCAAGATTTGTAATGCCCTTAAAAATGTTATATTGTTTCCAGAAACATCCTTAGAGTCTGTTTCAGTAGTTGCAATAGCATGGGCAAATGTAACAAGTAGATAATGCCTTAAATGTAGCAATGCAATGTTGATGAATAGGCTGGATTAATAGTGTTGTATTTGCAAACAAGAAAATGATATTCACATCTGGATTTAAATCTGCTAATTTGAAGGATGGCAGGTGAACTATCCAGGAATAATACACTTTTGAAAGGTACTCATTTTTCCAGGTAATACACTGGTGTTAAATAAAACAACTTAAAAATAAGTCTTCAAACAAAGGCTTGTGTCATCCATGCTTTGGAGTGGAGTGAAAATAAACAATAATGTATGCTTATTACATTTTATATACTTTTGGGTTTTTAGAATGATAAATTAAAAATGGCTCTAATTTAAAATCTGCATTATTACCACCAAGCAGAAGAATTAATCAATTCTTATAAGTTTTAAATCCTGGAATACGTTTTTGCTTTTTTTATGGAAAAAAAAAAAAAAAAAGAAAAAGAAAAGAAAAGAAAAACCCACACACTTTTGTCAAGACTGAAAATTTGTTCAGATTTGTTTCCATCATCAATAATTATGTCATAAAGTCTTCTTTTGTTGACCTTCGTCAATACTGTGGAATAATAAAAGTGGTCAAATAGATTTTAAGTTGACAACCACTTTATGCATTAAACTATACATTATTTATGTATATATAGTTGCATTTTCAACTTGGGTATTTTCTATCAAATGATTGTTCAAAAAGCATCATAATTTTGATTTTATTACATCAAAACAACATTTTGATGAACCTAATTGCAGCCACAGGAACAGAAAATAAATAAATAAGGAAAAAAATAATTTTTTTGTCAGAGAAACAATACAAAAACTGAAACCATAAAACTAAAAATACAAACAAGAATGCATAAAAATTACCCACTAATAAAATCGTCATGATCACAAACTTGAATTCTTCTACGAAAGCTACTGTGGATAAAACAGTCGATAGTGACTGCTAACTTTTCATGTCATTAGTCTCAGATTTGAATCCTAGACAAAGCATGGACATTTGTGCTTTTGGAACGAATATACTTCAAATTTGTTGATCTGAAAACCAAGAGGTTATTGGTTTGGAAAGAAAGAACTGAGAATTGTAGATTCCCTACCCTGAAGTGCTCTTAATTAAAAGAGGAATGAAGCTTTTTGACTAGATCATGACTAAACAATGCAATCCCACCCAAACTTTCACCACTACAAAAGGTATCAAAGATGAATGTTAGATATATAAACTTTTCACAAGTGAAAATTGCCCACAATCTTTTCTCAAGAAGATGAACTTTGCAAAGAAAATCAAGTAAATACATATGCAGCATCTGACATTAAGTGGGGATCAAAAAGACGATAATAGGTACAAAAACTTCATTTCCCAAAATGTTAACAAAGCTGCCACTGGTGCAAGATATAATATCTGGAAAAACACAATGAGAAATTATTAGAAGTGTATTGGATTTTATGGCTGCGGGCATCATTAAATAGCTCATAATAATTCAAAACTTGTTAAATGCACTCAAAGATATGAGGTGTATTGCAGTATGCATTCTTTTATATCATTTGTGTGCACAATGTGTTGTCACTACATCCCATTTTGCTGCCTTGAACGATCTTGTCTCCCAAAGTCATTGGTTAACCACAACAAAGAATCACCTCAGATATTGCTCTTGGTACATCCCTATACATATACCGGAAATTGCTCAATCATAAATCAGATGCAAATCTACATATTTCTCTTTCATGTAGTCAGCCATGTCATTTCCAAATGAAACAGACAAGTAATTGTTCCACATGATAATCACTGCAAAAGTGCTGCTTTCTATTGCTTGTAGCTCATACTCTTGCTTCAACACATATGTTTTGCAATGTTGCTTATGTCAGACTTCATGAGCCAACCTATGAATGGAATCAACAATTAATATCTACAGGTGCCTCTCCTTCCCTCTCGATGTCAGAACCTGCCTTATTTTCATGATTTTTACCAGCTAAATATGATTTATGATAGCATTTCTTAGGAAATTATTAGTGCCACTGGCACATACTGTCACAACGCTGCATCTGTCACCATATTAACACCCTACATACACAACTGCAGTATTAATAAAATGCAACTGGGAAAAAAAGGGGGGTTATTATAGAATAAGCTCTTATTTAAAATGGATATGATAATTAATGCATTAAATAGAGAAAAATAATTTATACTGTTTAATGGGAATAATAGATTAAATAATTCTATTTACAGAATTCATTTACAATTTTATATCATGGAAAAGTAAAAGCATCTGATAAATTAAAAAAAGATAATAGCTTCTGTGCACACTGTGTGGTCTATTAATTTATTTATTAAATTAATCTATTAATTTAATTAATAGTCTAATTAAATTAATATATTTTTCTTATTCAGGCATCCTATGCTTTTATTATTTGTAATATAAAATTTTAGGTGAATTCTGTAACTAGAATTATTTAATCTGTTATCCCCATTCAACTATATGATAAGTATTTTTTTTCTTTTCAGTGCATTAATTATAATATCCATTTCAAATGAAAACTTTCTATTAAACCCTTTTTTTAAATCGTGAATGTTGAAATTTTAAAACCATAAACGTGAAACAGTCTAAAAAAATCAATCAAAAATGATCAAAAATGCAGAAATTAAGTTACAATTTTCACACACATTTCATTGAAAAGATTTTTTCCTGCTTCATTTAATGGTGTAAATTGTAAAATTCTATTTCTTCATTAAACAAAGATATGCATAAAAAATCATTTTAATATCAAATAAAAAAACCTCTTAACCTCATTATCACTGACCAACAATGTATACACAAAATTTGAACTCGAAAAGCTTATCAAGAAATAGGTTAAAAATCAATGACAAAATTTTAACCACAGTAACATTATGAGTAAACTAAACAAAAGCTTATAATAAACAACAACTATATAATTATCGCCATCTATATATCTGAATGACTCAACAGTTCTTAAACAGTTGAACAGTGGATGACAGTTAAACATAAGATATAAATCAAATAAAATAAGCTTTCAGATTAATACAGAAAGCTCTCAAGAATTCCCAATGAAAATTTCAGAGGTGATCACATATGTGAACAATAAATGAAAGTATTGTTTTCCATAACTACCCCCAGAGAAGGACACATAAAGTAGCAAAAACACCCTTATAGTTCCATGCTAGTTAATTCAATTTATGTTTCATTATACTATTTCCCTGAAGAGTAGTGAGAGTTTGTCCCATTTTATTCAGTGTTGGCTTGTATGTTAAGGTAACTGCTGCTAAGGGTTTTTATTGCTTCAACCTGGTAAACAACTGTATAAAATACTTGTTAACCTATGTTAGAATTAAGTCATATGTTAGACACTTCTGCATTACATCCATAACTAATATTTGAATGACAACAATAGAATTAAAGTAATTTGGCTAATAAGCAACATACTTCATACTCCAAAACGTTACTTTATAGTGGTTGGATATAGATGTGATTGTATGAATATATCACATTATTCACACAATAGTCACTGCAATGCGATATAATTGCCATCTACCAAGAATACACATAAAATTCAATAATTTTAAAGCTTTTCTTCTTTTTTTTTTTCTTATCAGACAACAATGTTATAATTCATAGTACCTATGTTTCCCAATCTAAGTTTGTAGTAACTAAGGAGGATGCACACATCACTTTTATACACCTCTTCTGAAGGGGAGTGCAAAATCCTCCATTTTGCACCTATTGTTTTGTTCACTAATTTATCATACCATAAAGTTCCATAGTAATTATCAGTGGAAAGGCCTATAGCTTTCCCTGTTCTTCATATGACATATTTAGCAAATACACATAAAATTTTAATTTTTATACAGGCCTTCTACAAAAAGAGTTCTAATTAGAGTATAAGGTACTTTATCCTGTAAGGTTTATTTTAATTAAAACACTGCTTCCTGCATTTTTCCATCAACAGTACAAGAAATGCAAATTATTTGAGTTTAAGAAATGAATGATTACATAAATTAGAGGATGAATATTGGGCAATTTCTGCTAATGATTCTCATCCTTCACCTGCCAAACAGATATCTATATTAACTTCAATGAGTTCTGGCATTGTTGTCACATTAGTATTAACTTAAAAATTTTATTACATGCAATTATTACCTCCCCTCCAATGCAGCTCTCATCGTGCAACTGGTAGCACATCCAAACAGCAGGTAAAATATTTGTGCCTCAAAATCTGCCAAGGGCATAGCTGATTTTTTTTATTTTTTTTTTTTTTTCATTTAAAGCTCTGGGGGTGTGGAGGGGAACTAGCTCTACATAAGCACCTGACTAAAATTTGGAAAACAATAATTTATCACCACATGGATTTGGCCAACTACATCTCATTCCTCTCGCTCTCCAACTAATTCCTCTCGCTTAACTGGGGAAGAACATACAAAATTATCACTTTCACTGTATGTGTTCTTGTGGTATAACTAGTAGCAATAAAAAAATTTAAAGATCAAATTCCAGCAAAGGAATAACTTATTTTCATATTTCTTGCTTTGTGTGTGTGTGTGGGGGGGAAACCAATAGTTCTACATGTAGTAGTCTCAGACTGCAAGAAATGCCATTTAAGCAAAACTGTCCTTGAAAAATTATCAAAATTTTATTGCTTGAATGTTTTAAAAAAAATTGACTGTAAAGATCATACAAATTTATTGTTCATAGAAGCTTGATTACCACTAAAAGATTAATTGGACTTACTTTTAATTTAATAATAAAATGTGGAAGAAAACAATTATAATGATCTATTAACACATTAGATGCAATTTATTACACATAAAAAAATAAGACAAAAGATAATCATCTTACATTATATTCTTCGTGCAGTTCCTCTAGTTTTTTGCTCAGATCTTTAAGTTTTAATTCTATGTGTTTGCAAAGTACTTGGTCTTTCAAATAATCCCCATTTTCAATTTCTTTGATCTTTGAAACAGTTTTATCAATATTTCGTATAACAGAATTTGCATCAAAAATTTCTTCAGTTTGAACACTTTTCATTTTTAAATCTTCACTTGAGTATCTGTCTCCAGATTTTGGATATTTATCATCAAACACAGATGAATAAGCTTTTCTTGATCTAAAATTAAAAAAAAAAAAAAAAAAAAAAAAAAAAAAAAACTGATTATCAGAAATAATTTTAATTATTCATCAAATTAATAATTACTAGAATTAGGAAGCTGAAAATTACTGATTATGATATTTTAATAATAACAGATTTCAATTTCCTAATTTTTTTTAATTGCAGTTCATTCATTCTCTGTTTATATATTCTGATTTAACTTTTGATTTCTGATCCAAAGAAATTTACTCAACCAACCACTGTCTTGATCAATTTTCCTCAAATAAAAAGAACGACATTATCATATGCATCAAAAAATTGTAATTAAAAGATAACATTTGATTTTAACTGCTGAAATGGGTTTCAGAACATCTTTTATTATAATTTTTTTCTTTAGGTATTTAAAATAAATCTAAAAATGAAAGAAAGAAAACTTGAAAGGATTCAGATTTTTATAGCACATATCAGAGGATCCTTTTTTTTTTTTTTTTTTTTTTTAATGCTTGCGCTGAGCACTGCAGATTACCACCAGCCAACTTTTGGACTTATCTTTGCCAACACATTTTTTTTTTTATCTGTTTAGCTTTTATTAAGCCTTGCCTTCTTCACACTTATGCCACATAAAATTCAAGAAAATATTTAAACAGAACATATCTTTAAAATTCCTGATACAGTATTAAGGGTTGCCATACATTTCTTTTTTATATTTGTTGTATTATTTCTTTGAAAACTAGCCACTTGAGGGCCAGCCACTTAGCCTAGAGTTAATATAAAAAAGGAAAAAAGGAATCTGAAAGTTTCAGATTTTACATTACGCCCAAAGGGGCATTTTTTAACATTGTGTGGGTTTGTTATTAAATATCATGTTCTTTGCACTTAAACCATAAAATTCAGTTTAACAGCAATATCGCAAAATAATTTAAAATTTCCAATACACAGTCTTGTGCACTAGAGATATAAATGTCCCCCCCCACTACAGTGTTGCCATTGCTCGCTTTGAAATCATTGAATTTGTTAAAGTAATATATGAAATAGATAAATAATATGAAAAAATATGAAATAGATAATAAAACAAATTCCAAATTAAAAATTTGGGCTTCCAGATGCCCCTATTCAGGAGGTGGAAACGTACATTATTTAAATTTGATGGCTCTAGGTACCATCGTTTTATCACAATGCGAGAAACATGCATACATTTATGCAGAGTCTTCATTACTTAATTTCTTTAAATATAATACAGGGCTGTAATATTTGGTGACAACAGTTTGAAAAGTGAACTTACATTTAAAGTTTTCAATGCAAAATGGCAAAACGAAATTAACAGCTTATCTGGGCTGACGCCCATTGGGCTAATAATTTTTATTCAGCTAATGTCACTTTACAAAAATATTTAATATTTAAATGCATTTTAATTTAAATCACTAAAATTAAAAATTAGAAAAAATATTCTTAAGAATTTTGTTTATTGCTTTTAATTTACTTAGTTTGTTACTCGGTAACCTTGCAGATTAAATCTGAAAGTTAAATATTATAGGCTTTACTGAATGGCAACATGCTGGGGTGAGGAAAATAAAAGTATTTTATTTCTGACAATGACAAAAAATAACTTTCAAATAACTGAATCTGTGGATTAAAATTGAAAGATAAGTATCTTACATTTCATCAAATAGCAATAATCCAGCGTGCTGGATACAAAATGTCTTATTTCAAATAGTGTTGTCACTTCTTGCTTTCAAACTGCTAAGTTTGTTAATCAAAAATTCATCAAATTTGTACAAATATAAAATTAAAAAGAAACAGCAATTTGAAGTTTGGGATTTGAGGTGCACATATTCAGGTTGAGGACTACATGCATTAAAAATTCAGTAGCTCTAAGCGTCGTTGTTTTTCCACAATAATGCAAAGAAAATACATATATACATAGAGATTCTTCACTATTTATTATTTTTTTAAACATAATACATCACAATAACATTTGGCGAGCGATAGAAAAATGATTTGGAGAAAAGTGAATTTCGAGACTAATAACACACTTCTGCTGTTAAAAAGTATCAACTAATATTATTCGACTTGTATTGGTAAATACTAACAGTTGGTTTCATTTGGTGATGTCGTTTGTTTGTTTTAGATAGGAAATGTACACTGCACAAAAAAGGGGGGAACCGCGACTTAAAATAAGTATTAGATTTATATATAGCATTGTTCTAATATAGGTATTTCGACACAAAACCGGACTTCTTCTGAAATAACATACCAATGTTTTCCCATATTTCGATTCTACAACTCAAATGACACCAAACTGCCAAGTTTGTAAAAATCGCAAGAGTCGTTTTTAAAAAATTAGCTCTCAAAATTTTAGCTCCTCAATGTTAATTGAGTTATTAATCTCTCTTTCTTTATCAAACTTAGTTGATTCTTCCTTTCACATTTTGAAATTCAGATTCATTCTAAATAAAATTCACCCATTTTTTTATGATTTATTTTTTAAATTAATATTTTAAAATAGTTTTTATAAATTTTTCAAAAAATTTTAAATGCAATCTATAAAATTTTTTATCATAATCTTAAAGTAGATGAATTTCTGAGCATACCTCCAAAAAATTACAGTTTTTTATTCAAAATTTGCGAAGATATACATGAATTTATATATTGGCGCGTTTTGAAATTTGGCATATTTGTTGATAGCAACATGTGCAATGTAAAAAGGTAGGAAAGGGGTGCCTTTATTTCTGCTCCAGCATAATGGAAGGGAAAGGAAAATTGGTTGCCATGTATTAAGTTCGCCAAGTGAATTATTCTTGGTACAAACTGAAAATTTTGCGCCAAGATAAATTTTTGAATTTCTCAGCAAATTTCACACCAAATTTTACAAAATTTAATACTTGGGCATAATTTGTGTCATAGAATCGAAATATGAAAAAAATTGGTATGTTATTTCAGAAAAAGTCCGATTTTGTGTCAGAATACCTATACTAGAACAATGCTGTATATAAATATAATATATATCCTAAGTCGCGCTTTTGAGACATGAAAAACTCAATTTGAATTTTGTCAATTGGTCCAGTAGAATGGGAGATATAGAACTGTGCCCCCCCCCCCCTCCTTTTTTTTTTTTTTTTTTTTTTTTTTTTTTGCACAGTGTACAATTATTACTATGGTAAAAGTTTAAACATTTATTTCTGAAGAAATTTTTAAACTTTTACCACTTGCACAGCCTCCAAGTAAATTCTGTCGAAGATGGGATGGTGACATTCTGCCAAATATGAGATTAAATTTGCATTTTTTATTTCAGCATTCTAAAAAGCAACAGATGAATTATTTGTACTATTGTGGTACATACTATACAATTTCCTACAAATGATTTTCCAATATACGTTATACAGTGTGCAAGTATTATTGATGTTGCACTTATTTAGAATAAAGGCTTTTTTAAGTGTAAAACATTAAAATATATACATTTTTAATGTTTTACACTTAAAAAAAAACCAAACACTACTATGCATGGGAAGAATGCTATAATTCATTAGACAGTCCCATAAAATGTAATCTACATTGAGATAAAACTTCATTTAACATGCATCCAAAAATATTTGGCAATACACTTTAAATTTTTGGAAACTCAAACGTCAATTTTATTATTGATAAATCTCAGAAATCAATAATGATACAAAAAATATCATAAAAATTATGTGCAAATGCGAATTAATTGCTATAACACGCAACAAAAGCTATATTGAAGTTGAACACATTTAGAAAACATATAAATATTATCCTATTCAGATAGTTATTGCATTTAAAAAAAATATTTCACAAGATTATTGAACATATGGTCTATACAAGGTTACAAAAAGAACTGGCAATAAAAATGTCAATGATTTATTTGTTGACGAAAAGTAAGCATCTGAAGCAAGTTCCAAGTTTGGTTAAAATATCAGTTAGTTAATTACCATTAAAAACATGAAATAGCTTATCTACTGAAAATTGACTTACTGCAGAGAAGCATAAATGAAATACATACATTTCAAATGGCAACTCCTCCTTGGATTGTTTTTTCTCATCAGTATCTGAAATTCTTTTAGATAAATGTTCATCAGTTAAAATGTGATCAAAAGTTCCAGATCTTCCAGATAGAGTCTAAAATAATTTTAGTCCATTTTTAATGCAAGCAAATGAAACAAATTTTATATACTGTTATTTTGAAAACAATATTAAATTCTTAAAACTACAGCATTTAAAAATGACTTTTATTATAGTTTATAAGAATTTCGGCAGCAAGAAATGAGAAATAGAAGCACAATAATTACGAAAATGTTCTTTTAAAATAACTTATTATTAAATATTATTTAATAACCTTCTATGTTTATATCTAATAAAAAGGTATATTTTGAGTTATAGTAAAAGCCCAACTATCTGGCATTTAATTAAACAGAAGCCTTAATTAACCTAATTATTTTTTTAATTTAAAAACACTATATATATATATATATTATATTATATTTACATGAATGACGAAACATGAATTGAGTAATTAAAGTGTTAGGTTTGAAGGCAACTTTCCCTTGATAAGTCTGTCTCCTGCCTGCTCAACAATTATTCACTTATGCCTTTTTTAATTTTTTAGGATTAAAAAAATTGTTTGGAGTATTATATTTATTCATGGATTTTGATACCTGCACTTATTTACATATGCTCTCAGATTTTAAATGATATTGTAGATTAGTTAGTTCGCAGCAATAATTAATCATTTATTTGTTTACAATTAAAATTTCATAATTTAAATTTAATTTTTAATTATCTTTAAATTTGCTTTTTATGAATAAAGAATGTTATATATATATATATAATGGGTATCCCAACAAAAGTGTCAGATTTAATATGCCCAATGAAATATATTACCTTCAGGAAATGGAAAAAAGTTTTACGTATTTTTAACAGGTAACTGTTCCAATTTAAGAATGAAAAATAACTTCTGGGGTATGTCCTCCAGAGCTTGCTCTGTAGCACTGCATTCTTTTGATGAAACCTGTAATCACATTTTCACGTATCTGCCTACTGAAATAACACATTGAATTTTCTCTATGTTCTTTTATCGTTAATCTTTTTAGTATTTCTAAGTTCAGATTTTTTGGGATCTGCAATAACACTGTCATGCATATTAATTTTTTTTTTTTTTTTTAAATCAGAGCAGCTATATTAACAGTGTAGTGGTTTAATGTCTGATGTTGAACTTGGGTCATCAAATTTTTTGATCAGTTTACAACTTCTTGTTTCATTAAATGCAGTTTTACTTTCAAAGACTGCATGAAGCTTCCTTGTGTGAAAAATGCTCCCCATTCTTATGAGTTCTTACAATCAAAACTTTCAGTTCCTCTGCATGATGCTCCATTTCGATTAAGCTGTGAAATGAACTGACAATGATAAAATCTCAGTGTTGCCAGATCAAATTAAACTCAACATTTATTTGTTTTCAGTATGTAAAATTATTTCCTATGTTCTAAAAATAAAGCATTTTTGGAAGCATATTACATCTGCCACTTTTAATGGACACCCTATATATATATATAAAAAAATGAGAGACTTGTAAAGCCATCATAAAGCATGATGTAGAACTACAACTTGATACTCTACTTATAACATCTAAAATATGAATACATTTACACGGCTGATGCTGGTTACCCCTCTTCTCCATTCTATTCATTATATTATTACAAGAATCTGGCCTTCAAACTGGACATTCCTTATAGAAAGAAAAATGGAAATATATGAGAGATTTCAAAGTTCAAGACAGGCACTGATTCTATCACAAGAACCTCTCTACCCAATGTTGTTTAACATTCCACATTTGTGACAAATAAAAACTCTCACAAAACAGTGTGATTATCTCCAGTAATGAATAAGCATAACAATATAATAAGATCTTTGCTTTGGTTTTATGTAAATCTGATTAATTCTCAAAAAGACCAATTCAATTTTTTTTAAACAATAAAATTAATAGCTATTTATCTGTTTTTCCACTGCATTAAAAAAATGAAAAGAAAAGAAGATATTAAAATTTGTGTTGTTAGGTTACTTGAATGTGACAAGCATATGAGGGGGACGAGGACATCACTGAGGACTTTCCAAGGTAAACTAGCTCCTATTCACATTATGGATGGGGAAAATCATGAAAACTAACCATACAGCCAGCCTGCTTGCCTAGGTTCGAAATTAAAATTTGGGACCTGCCTTCAGTACAGTAGCAACAAGCAGTACAATAGCTTCAAAATTAAGGGATTCTGGCACCAAGTGTGCATTCATGGGCATGAAATGTGACTGATATGATAAATGAAAATTTGAAAATGGATAAACACTGGACATACAATTGAGAAGCAATTTTTTTAAATATTATATTCCTAACTCATACCTGTTGATAACCTTACTAAATAAAAAATTATATATATATATATATATATTTCAAACTTGTGTCAAAATGACTGTTGCAAGTTTGGTGGGACCTTCAAGAATTTTCATGGTCAACAAGATTTCATAATCAGATAAGACATTTAACTTGAATATTTTTACGTGTGTACGGGTTCATAATAGACTGAATGCACAAGTCTGATAATAGGCTAATAAAAATTCATTCTTATCAAAAGAAATATTTCAGAATTCTGGAATGTTCCATAGAAATATTCATTCAAGTGTTCCCAGTATCACACAGTATAATCAGTAGTTATACTTCAAACTACTAAAAATGTTAAATACAACGCAATACAAAGCGCATGTAACAAGAAAGCTAATCTCAGTTCTCATGGAACCAAACTACTTGTAACACCAATAACTAAGCAATTGAACTCAGACTCTCTCTATCGCTGGCCTTTTATAGTTTTCAACTGGTCGCAAAATATTTCTAGTACTTTCTGCTTCTTGAAATTACTGGAAAGCAATAAGAGGATGAAATTGTGGTTACAGCTAACATAGTGATCAATTACATTTACTCAATTTCAATACAAATCACCGAGATAATTTACTCAATGTTAAATGCATCTGCCAGTGTATTCTTACTTTTTGGCACAGCTTTCTCTTAAAAATTTATCTCGAGCTGCACTGCACGGGAAAATACAACAATTTTAATTATAAGTCTGCTAAAATTAGCTATAGAAATACAAAATTCGTAACAATATGAATATATCAGCTTTTATATCTTCTATGTTTCCCTCGTTTTCTTTAAAATTTTACATAGTTTAAATACAGGTTTTTGATAGTTAAGCTGATAACAAATAAGATGATAGTTTCTACAATTTTAGATAGGAAATTTTTTTCTTTCATTTTGCTTTTCTACCATACACAGCACTATTTTAGGCACTCAGATATCCAGAATTTTTCTGCATCTGCAATTTTCCTAGCTTTATAAACAGTTGAGCTTTTACTGTATCACTTAAGTTGATCCTTTTTTTTAATCACAGTATAAAATGCAAATTTTCACAAAGAAATATAACAATGATTTGATTACTTTTATATCTGGTATTAAAAATATATTTCAAAACAAATTAAAATAATTATTAAAATAATTTTAAATTATTTATTACAGTACCTTGGCATGAGTAATATCAGCTCCAGAAGTAGTTTGTTTATTTTTCGTTACACTTTCTGTTTCTGGTCGCGGAAATTCTAAGGATTCATCTGCATACTGTTTGACTAATTTTTCAGTTACTAAAGTTGCTTTTGAAATTAAATTAATTGCTGATTCTAGAAAATTTTCAAGCCTTTTGCAGTCAGAACTATGCTTAGAACTATTGAGAGTTTCCTTAAAGCCATATTTCTCAAAAAGAACCTTTGATCCACATAAGAAATCAAAAAAAGATGAACGAACCATACTGAGAATCACCAAATATGTTTCAGCAGTATTCACAGAAAGTTCACTAATTAAGTTTTCCAGGTTTTTATACTCAGAATCTGAAATGGCTATACCAAATGTTCTTCGCAAATTCGGAGCAGATTTTGTTGCTTTAAACAGTATTGTTTTATTCAAAGCTTTCCATATACTTTTAATATCATAACTTAAACGTGTAGCCTGTTTTACATAGTTTTTCAGCTGAATAGTATCTGTCTCACTGACAAATTTTGGACTATCAGAAATTATTGGCAAATTAACAATTTGCTGAAAACTCTGGCAACATTGCATATTCTTTAGAATAGACAGTTCCTTAGATATAATTTTGGATAATAAAATAAATGATAAATGCAAATCTTTTAAATCTGATGAAACACCTTTTGAATATGCAGAAAAATCAAATTTTTCATTTTCCAAGCTACTTGAACTTTTAGCAGGAATTTGCCTACTACTTTTAAAACTTCTTGCTTGAAATTTTGGAGAAGTTTCTTCTTTATCATTAAGAAATTCACCATTAATCTTCTGCAGCCTAGAAAATGAAATGGTATTTCAAACAATTTAAAGCAATGTATAGTTACATAATTGACAATTTCATTTTAAATTACATACATACTAAATTTTTGTCTCAAACAAATATTTAAAAAAAAAAAAAAAAAAAAAAAAAAATAAAATAATAATAATAATAATAATAATAATATCAGTGGTGATAAAAACAGAGACATTGTTGATTTTAATCATGTAAAAGGTCTTAGAACTTATAACAAATTCAACAGAAATGTTATCACTCATATCAGATATCCATTTTACAAATGCAAACTTCTGATACTATCAAAAGGAATAATAATAATAATATAATAATAATAATAATAATAATAATAATAATAATAAAAAGTACTTAAACTCCAGTATGTACTTTTACCTAAAAGTGATATTAAATAACTTTTTCAAGAAATTTGACATAAATATAAATGGGTTAAAAAAAACCCCACTTATCTATCACTTTAGTACTTTACTACAAGAATGAGAGCATTAATTCAAAATACTACAGATAAGTAATCATTTCTTTAATCTGCTATTTATAATATGCCACTGTTTTCTTAGGACTTAATCTCCAAAGAAGCATTCATTGAAAGTCTAGAAGTCACTTATCTAAAAAATTACTGTATGCACGGAACAAATAGCATTTATTTATCATTTAAATATTTACATCCACCCACTAAATATGTTTAATTTATGATATTTGTTTCAATCCATGAAATACAATTTTAGAAAATATATGATGGCCTTCCTGATCCCAAAACATTAAAGAAATAAAAATTAATTTTACAAAATTTGTAAATGATTCAAAATTTAAATAATAGTTCAAATCTATTAAATGCACATGCTAAAATATACACAGTATTACAGAAATTTTTTACAATAAAAATATTCCAAAACCATTTCCCCACAAAATGCTGCTGAAAAATTAATTAATTATAGACAAAAAAAGTAATAATTCCAAACTTTACTCTTTTAGTCTATGCATTATGTGAATATAATATGCAGTATGAATAAATATCTCTTGTGCAACTGAGTGAATATGATATGCAATATGAATCAGTAGCCCAAGTGTGACTAAAAACCTGACTCCTCTACAATTAGTTAGCACTATTTCATAGTGCTTGGTCTATTTTTAAAGTCTAGTTCAGAGAATTTAATGAAGAATAATTTTCTCCTTCCAACAAGAAATGATACCACCTTTCCTTTAATGTATCACCCCAATCTGTATTGCAATTACTGCCCAAAAGGGAATGTTATCATACATTAAAATCAGATAGGAGATTTCGGAGATTTTATTAATAACATGTATTAAGTTCCCAGAACTAAATTGACCTTCAAAATGAACAGTGTTCCACGATTTTATTGGAAAACTGTAATATAAACAATGAATTCTTGACAAATGTTTTTGACATATTATCAAAGATGTCAGAAATTCATAAAAAGTTCAACTTGCAGGACTTCAAATTAATCTGCTACAATAACAACTGAATACAAAAACTGAAGTATTACAGAAAGATTCTGAAATATTTATTATTACATAATGACCATCTACTAATAAAAAATAAATCTATATATAATCAGTAAATTTGTTATCCAGTATAAAAAATACCACAGGTGAAAAAAATATATACAGCCACATTTAATAAATAAACAAAAATAAGGCTGATTAATTCAAAGTGCTTGAATTGCTTTCCATGGACTGTAAAATTGTCCACTTCCTATGAGTAAACGATAAAAGTTTTCTTTAGGCTTTCAAGATATTGTAAACTGGCGTGCAAAACTTAAGCAACAATGTAAAAATTTAGCAGCAATCTGCTCCATGAAATTGTGGAAAAGGAGGTCTGGAGATCAGTACAATGAACACGTAAGTCAGAAGAAACGTCACGTGTATACAAATATCAGGAACGAAAAGTCAGAGGCGGCATGAGCGTACACAAAACACGTGATGGCGGCGAGCGCAGCTCAACAGTAAAATATAAGGAAGGACGGAAACGCAATTCAACATAGTCGCTGCAAGTGCCAGTGAGTCAGTTCGTGAAATATGGCTAGAAGAAATCACCTGGACGACTTCACACATGGAAGAATGATCGGAAAGATGGAGGAGGGGCGTACTGTCACCAGTGTAGCTGCAGAGTCGGTATAAACAAAAGTGTCATTTCACATGCTTCGAAAGCGTTCCAAACCACAGGTACAGCTGTTAGAAAGGTTGGTGGTGGCGGCCCGAGGACGACAACTGCAGGGAATGACCAATATATCGACCTGCAGGCGAAAAGAGGCCAACAGCAGTCGCAAGCACCATTGCTCAGCAACTCTGTACAGCAAGACGGCGACAAGTGTCGCAGTTTACTGTGGCCAGATGCTTTCACAAAGGGGGCCTATCACAAAGGCTGCCGTTCTGAACGCTGCCTCCCATTGAAAGTTGGCCACCGACGCCACCGCTTACAGTGGTGCAGAGAGCACAAAAACTGGACAACTGATCAATGGAGTCGTGTCCTCTTTACGGATGAGAGTCGGTTCAGTACCAGAAGCGATTCTCAACGCGTTTTGATTTGGAGAGAGGTCGAGACCCGGTTTTATCCCAGTAACATCAAGAAAAGACACTGTAATGGTGGTCCTGGAGTTCTTGTCTGGGGAGGCATTATGCTGAACGGGTGAACTGAGCTCCACGTTTTCAACTGAGGGTCTGTAACCGGGGATCGCTATTGTGAGGAGGTACTCCTTCCCCATGTGCGTCTGTTCCGGGGGTGCCATTGGCGCAGACTTAATTTTTATGGATGACAATGCACGGCTGCATCGGACTCTTGCTGTTGAGGAGCTACTGGAAAGTGAAGTTATCACTCGAATGGATTGGCCAGTGTACTCCCCAGATTTAAATCCCATCGAACATGTGTGGGATGCTTTGGGGAGACGCATTGCAGCACGCTTACATCCTTCGGAGAACACCCAACAACTCAAACAGATGCTGATTGAGGAACGGGCACTCCTTGAAACAATGTTTGATTATGGCTTTGTTGTGTCATTGTTCAGCACAGGAAGGTAATCTGACTGCACCATATATGTTGTAAACTTTAGTTTTACTACATTTTATGGCCTTCCTTACTAGCATTTTCCTGAAAGCGTATTGAAAACATTTATTCATTGGCTGCAATTTAGTTGTTGTATTAAGAAAAAGCAGTTCTAATGCAGTTGATTTCAAGTTTGGAAGATCAGAGAATGCTGTACAATAATCAGTGACAGTCAATACTTTCTGCTCCTTGGAGCAAAACATTCAATCTAAATTCCCAGTGTAGCCCTTAAATAATGCCTGAGTTTTTAATGCTATAATGCACAGAAAGAGATTTTTTATTCTTGAAAGAGTGAAGGTTCTTATATCCACTAACAATTTGAAAATTATTTCACTTTTACAGTAGCATGTGCTCCTACAACAGTTAAATATACAATTAAACTCTTTTCACTTAAGTGCTCTTTATTTCTCTGAAATCTTTATTAGTCTTAATTTATTAATCTTCTTTGAAATAAGATTTACCATCAAAATGCCATTACCTTGTGCGGAAAATAATTCCATTCATCAATACTAAATATGTCTTCAGCACTATAACCTCGAAGAAGTTTAGATAAACATTCTTCCCTTTTTTGGTTCATTATATAGTGCCTGAAACACAATATTTTTCTATTTTTGAATTTTTCAAGATATCTTGCATTTACAATGATATCTGCACATTCAATAAGTGTACCATTGTAGTGACTTTCTCATTTTGGGTTTTATAATATTGAAACTATTTTCAAATTGTTGTTTTGCCAGCAGTCAAGACACATTTCTGGGGCTTCTTGCTCCTGTTAGATAATTTAAAGGATGCCCTTTTAAAATATTCTGTACATCCTCCAAAAAACGGAGGAACAGTACGTAAGTCGACAGATCACACTTTCATTGCTTATGTTGAAGCATAGCCATAAGATCAAGGTTGAAGATAAAAAAAAAAACTTATTTTTTCAATGCAAACAAATGGTATTCTCATTGAAAACACTTGTTCTCAAAGATTAAATAAGATAATTTCTTTCTTGTATGGCCAGTTATTCCTTGCTGTTAACAAGACCAATTTGGGATGATTCCATGTGCTTTGGATTCTATACTTATCCATAATATTAATTAACACTCAGAATGACAGTCACAGAAAAGGGACAAGGATATTAGATGAGCAAAATTAAGGATCATTAGCAAATTTCTGCCAAAATTATTTATTTTTATGGACCATATAAACCTTGTACATATTATCTGCCTCTCTCTGAAAAATATTTATGAGACAATATGCTATTTTGCAAAACAGGCAAAGGATGCTGCAAAATTAATTATGTTGCCACATGCAGCAACCCAGGCATGCATACGTGCATGGCAGATGAGCCTTGATTTTAGTGTTTGTTTATGTGGTTCTGAGAGAATTTTCTCCTTGTTAAAAATTCCGAGTGATGTCTGCTGGCTGATGAAAAAGAAAGCATTGCATTTCTTCAAAAATACAGCAATTTGCCTAATAGTAGAGAATGCCAAAGAAAAGAGATCTCTATGTACATGAGAAAACAATGTGAGTAATGCTAAATTTGTGCAATTCTTTGACATTTTTAAAGAGAAAACAGAATGCTGTGTGCATAAAAAGAACTAACAGTGCGCCCACTGGCAAGTGTCTGCAATTCTCTTATATTTTTGAAGCTTTTCATGGAGCGAACAGCACAAAAAAGGGAAGTATTTTATTATGAATGTTTCTTGCACTTTTAATTTTGTTAACTGATTTCTGTTTTATACAATTCTTAATGCATCAACATTTTTGCAAATGACAGCTATCTTTTGGGTCTTACCTTACTGTTTTTTCAAGAAAATATGGTGACTGACCTTTTAAACTAGAAAAAAAAAATAGGTACTTTTACAATTTTCCTATCATAAACCTTTCCCAAAATGTATACTTAAAAGTAAATAAAAATGAGATATAAACATGTTTTTTGTACAAAAAATACCTTGAAGATAGATATAAATGATGTAGTTATGTTAGCAAAATGCATACAGCTGGTTTATGTATTATATATATATGAGAGAGAGAGACATACATATATGCAATGAAAGCAAACTTGGCAGCAAAGACAAATTAATATTCATCTTTATTTATAAAAAAAAAAAAAAAAAAAAAAAAAAAAAAAAAAAAAAAAAAAAAAAATCCTACAAGGATTTAGGAAACGAAGGTTTTTGAATATTTATTTGTGAATCATAGTATTAATTTTGTGTATAGTGAATGTGGCTGTCATATAAATATGATAGAGAGTACGTGGTGGCATGTTAAAGCCATACTGCCTACTTATAATCGGAAATGCAATTTTGAGTTTTATTTGTTGAATTATATGTTTTTCCATTACTGTTCCAAAATGAGAGAAGATACTTTCAACATATTTGTGGAAATTGTAAGAACTGTTGAGTTGGATAAACTGAAAATTTGTTTACAGAATATTTGATGAAAGTGTTCACAATGAAATGCATTTACAATGGTAAGTGCATTTTATTTTATTGTTCTTATTTTGTAGAATGTTATGCTCATTGTTTTTTTGCTATGAATTTCTGTCGTTATTATTGTTTTTTTTTAATTGTTTGTATTTTATTTTAGTTAGTTTAGATTATTTTGTTGAATTGTGCGCAATGCCTGGATTGTGCAATTCGCTCATGCTTTTTTAAGTTAAGACAGAATGCTGTGTACATGGTATTGTTTGAAATTTATTGTTGTTATGTTAGTTTATTTTAGGAAAGTGTGCATAATTCCTAGATTCCTTCGTTACATAGATTGTGCAATTTTCTGATTTTTTTATATATATTTTTTTAAGTTAAAACAGATCGTTGTGTACAAATATTTTTGGTTAGAAACTTTACGTTTTTGCTATCTAAATTTTTTGTTTTTGTTTTGGATTTTTGGCATAAATTGCGCATTAAAATCATGGTTCTTGCATATGCGAAAACCCCATTTTTGCAGACATTTTAGGCTTAAAGTTCAAAATGTAGACAAAAAATTTATATAGGAATATGGTGCCGTGAAGTTTCTCACCAACCGAGGGTGTATATAAGAGTAGTTCCTCAATTCCCAGTGCATTTGATTGGATAATTAATACTGCTGTAAAATTATTATTGGAGTTTTAGTTCCAATAACATTAGCAGAGTTACTTAAGAGTCGTATAACATGGATCAGTCTCCAAATGAGGCAGATCAGAAAGAGATTATTTTTAGAATAGAGACTGGAAATAAGCAAATTATATCTAGGAATCTAGCAAGCTAATTTAAATTATAATTTTTTAAAACTATCTTACATGTATATAAAAAATGAGAATATATTAAGAATTATAATTTTGTGAATTATGAATAAGAATTTACCTCTTTTGTAGCTCTTTATTTTTCACATCATATTCCAAAATTTTATCTCTAGATTTCTCTAGAGTACTTTTACATTCATTAACAATAATATCAGCCTTGTTCTTAGAAACTTTGCGGTAGTTATCCAACTCAGACTGCAGAGACTGAACCTAAAAAATTCGAAATGAAAAGCATAAAAAAAATTCATTTTCAAAAGATGAATAGTTTATATTTGTTAAAAAATAATGCATGAAAATAATCAAATACCAAAATTTGGAATAATCTAAACATCATTCTACTGGGCATTTAAAAAATTTGGATAATTGCATTCTATTTCTCTTATAAGCCAAACTTTTTTTTTTACTGTAATGCAATTGGGGAAATGCTATTTTTTATTTAATACATTTAATCTCCGCAAAGATAATGTGTTAAAAAAGAGCAGTGAATCCTCTAGTATAGCGATCTCCAAATATTTGTGGTTGCATACCCCCAAGATAAAAATATTCGTACGAATAGCTTACTCAGTTATGTAAAACTGCAGTGCTTTACTTCGCTAGTGCATTCTCATTAGATTTGATGAATTTAGCCCTTGATTTTGCTTTTTCTATATTTTCACCTTCGAGTTAGTGTGATTGCATCCTAATTAATTACCGCGAATGGTCTTAGGGCATAAAATTTAACTAGCAAAAATTCTATGTAATTCTATGCCAGTATTGAAAGAAACAATCAATCTGATAAGAAATGGCTGCAACTTGTTTTGAAAATGAAGGGTAGAAGGTTACCAGCAAAGATATTCCATTTAGTATCAGTTGTACCATCATTGGTGACTTTATCGTTTGCACCGGCAAAACGGAAACCTCCATCATATCTCAACTTTTTTTACCTCCATCATATCTCAACTTTCTTTATTCGTTCAATATCAAGCCTTTTGTGTTGTTATTCCCTCTTTTTGTTGAAGGACCTATTGATCCCACAACATAAGTTTTACGGTAACCAGAAAGTGATCAGAGTACATATTTGCTCCTTGGAATGTCTGTACACTCAAGACACTACTGTTATATCTCAGACCTATGAAAACCTGGTCAATTCAATTTTGAGTTCTGCCATCACGAGATCTCCAGGCGGCTTTGCGTATATCTTTATGTTTAAATAATATGCTTCCAATCATCTTATTAGATACAATGACAAAGTTCACAAATGTAAAAACATTATTACTCGTCTCTTTGTGTACATTGTGGGATCCAGTAAATACCCTCATGTTTTAATTTTTTTCCATTTTTGGCATTAAAATCTCTTACAATGAGCTATACATCATTTGAATGACATCCAGTATAAATCCTATCAAGAATATCATAGAATTCATTCTTTTCCTCCTTATCTTTTTTTTTTTTATTTATTTTTTTAAAATCTTTTTCTGTGGAAGCAGGAGTACACACAATTGAAATATTACCTTTAATGAATATCTTATAGACGCTTTCATTCACTGGTTTAAATTCAATAACTCTATCCCTAATTTGCTTATTAAAAACAAAACCAGAACCAAAATGAAGTGTCTTTACATGGCAGTTGTAATAGACACTGCAATACCATTTATCAGTCACTCCTTGGCCAATCCATCTCATTTCCTGGATGGCCAGGACATCTAGCTTGTATTGGATGAAAATGTTAATAAGCTTTTTCAATGCTCCACTTCCATATAAAGTCCATACATTCTATGTTTCAAATTTCATGCCATGCCAGGTCATCAGGAATGCATCAGTCCAGAAAATTCTTTTCGAGGTTTCTTAATCGAAAGAGTTTTTATGAGCCAGGGTGATTAGTCCTGCACCAACCACCAGCCTGGAGGACCAGTCCCCTGACATAATCCCAGGAAGGTGCCTGGCTATACCCCCCGGACATTGGGTGCCCGTTTTAGTCGCTTCTTACGACATGCATGAGCTACACTGGGACTATTCTTTCACACTCAGTCATGACACAGGTGGAAAACTGGTTCACATTCATATTACATATGCAAAAAACTATTAAAATTCATGCCAACAGCCTTGTCTTATATTTTATATGACTAAAATGTGAAAATATTAGCCTAAAAAAGAAATAGATTTGAAAATTAACTGAAGATCACCTGGAGCTGGAGGTGAGTTAAATTTAGAACTGTACTTTTCAAAAAGATATATTTCTGAAATTTAACATATATAATTATGAAATTTGTACAGAATGAAACTAACTGCAGTGCCCAATGTCTGAAGATCATTTTCAAGACTGGAATGCTTTCTCCGTGTATTGGAAACACTGACATCATCTTTATTTAACTCATCATATTTGGAGGTTAGCTTCTCCTGCAAATAAAACCACATAACTGACATTACTAGAAAAAAAGTAACAGAGAAGGCATGACAAAGTGATAAACACTAGGTAACTCACACGCTAAAATATTTATAACACGCTAAATACCTTTGAATATGTATATATTAATTTATCTAGTAATAAAAATTTTAATATTTTTTAATAATTTGAATAGATAATTTATTGAATTAATTACTTAGTTTGGATTTTTCCCCCTTTTTCAAGAATTTTTCAGATAATTTTTATCTCGCATATCAATTGTTTTCAGTTATGATTTGTGCAGATTATATAATGGTTCAATCAAACACTTAATAACATGAACTATGATAGTACAAAGTCCAAAATCCGAACTTGTCGGGAATTCGGCGATTCGGATTTGGGATTTTTCCGGATAATAGATCATCAGTTTAAATCTAGTAAGATGGCATGTAGAAATTATAAAATTAAAAATATGAAATCGTGATTTATGAAAATATGAAGTATTTATGATCTAAATGTAATCTTTGGGTCTATGAGTATCATCAACAAAATCTATATTTAGCATATGGAAAGGAACTTTTGGTAAATTTTCCCTCGTCAACACTTTTTAGCGCAACTGAAATCTGTAATCATCGCCAAGCGTAATGTCAACATAAAAGGTTACCAAACTCCTTTATTATTCAAATGCTAACATAAAAAATTGTTTAGGTATCGCCACATGAGTCATTACTCAAGTTGTCATGTTTTGATAAACATGCGGTAATGAAAGGAAAGTATAATAAATAATGATTCGCCAGGTTGGCATCAGATCAACGATGTATCTATGTGGAATGTTTCGGTTTGAGATGCGTGCCAAGCAAATATGCAGCAATGGAGCCAAATTAGCGGTCATACAAATTTATGCTAAAATTATTGTTTCTACAGTAACAAGGTATTTTATTTAGTGTTGAAGTGAAATTAAGAATCAGAACTCTCCAGATATTTTATTATGCGCGGAGGGGGAAATGAAATGTGCATGCGTATAGCTTACGAGAAAAATTTTGCTGGTGATTTTGAGGTCCAGATTTTAGATCATTCCAGATAATGGACATCCGGATTTCGGACTTTGTACTGTATTAACAATCTGAATTAATTCATTGGCTACATACTATTAAACACTAAAGTTTGAATAGCATACTTGACAAAATGAAGACTATATAGACACTGAGCTCAAATATTACACACATACTTTTCTTAGATTTTTGCACAGTTACTTTGGTTTTTTACACACCTTTGCCATGTTTATTAAGTACTTTTAGTAGCTTATTTGAAAAACAGTAGTAGAACATCAGGAGTTCCATTTCTTTTAAATCTAATGAGTTGTTGCTCTGGCCAGTTTCTTTGTTCATTTAAGAGTTTGCATTATGAAAAACTTTCTATGTCTATTTCTTTTCTTTCTCTCTTTCTTACAGAAGACACTGGTACTTAGAAATTATCCCATCGACTGTGAAAGTTGGCTAACATCAGAACGTGATGAAAGTTGGTGGAGATACTGCTAAAGTCAGGGCAGTTGTTTGAGAATTTAAAGTAACTGATGCCTCTTTATTTAACAAACAATCTGTACTAGACTCATATTGTTTTTGCACAGAGTAAAAAAGCTTTCATTGGTCTCTATTATTTTGTTAGGCCCTTCAATTTTACCAGAAATTCTGTTTAAAACACTGTGAATACAAATTTCTTGCACATGATTGTTCCAATTTATTATGGGTTTGATGGCCATATTCAGTTGACCATATCATGTCCGTTAGTTATTACTACACATTTTTTTTATGGTAGGTTTCTATGCAATAAAAAGCAATAACAATTAATTTCATATCCTTCTTCATAAAAAACAATCTAGCCTATTGAGTATCTACCAGGGTTAAATCAGATCAAAAAAGACAGATGTCCTGGTGTAGTGTTAGGTCATGCTCATCCGTAACTGTTGACAAATAACGCTGCTAGCAACAGTCTCATAGTCGATGAGATAATATGTAAGTTCCAAAATACCTATTTCAGAAGTGATTGAGTAACTGTTTTGCAGACAGTAAAACAGTCATTTAAAAAGCTATAGCAATATTTAACAATATTCCCCTCCTGGAAAAAAAAGGAAGATTAAAAAAAAAGTATTTTTCTGTTTTGCCAGCGCAAATCTCACCAAATAGATTTTATTTGCGACAACACACAGTAAACACATAAAAAATGTTAGTTCTACGAAATTTTTATTTTAAAGGCATAAACATTTTAATATTGTTTAAAACTTTATAAAAAGACAATAAATAAAAACAATAAATTTGTAAAAAGACATTAATTTAAGAATTTGCTATGCTTTCGGTGCCACATCCTGATTCGCCGTTTCATATCACGGGACCGCAAGTGACCTCATCTCACGTAAACTACGTTACAAAAATCTAATTCTCTTAGAAATTATCTACATTAATTTCAAGTTAAATCTTAATTTGGAATACAAGTTTAAATGCAAGAATTATTTCAATTCCTATTAAAATTACCACAGTGCCGAAAGAATTCCTGTTAAAATTTCCGAAATTATGTAAAACCGCAGTGTTTTACTTCGCTAGTGCATTCTCATTAGAATTGATGAATTTAACCCTTAACTTTGCCTTTTCTATATTTTCGCCTTCGGTTGAGCAGTGTGATTGCTGCATCCTAATTGACTTAATTACTGTGAATGGCCTAAGGGCATAAAACTGAACTATCTGGTAAATATTCTATGTAATTGCATGCCAGAATTGAGAGAAACAATTAATCTGATAAGAAATTGGTTGCTACTTGTTTTGAAAATGAGGCGTAAAAGGTTACCAGCGAAGATATTCCGTCTGGAATCAGTTGTACCATTTTTGGTGACTTTATCGCTTGTACCGGCAAAATGGAAAAGCACCAAAAAAAAAAAAAAAAAAAAAAAAAAAAAAAAAAAAAACCTCTAGTTAGATAATTTAGCCACCTGGTTTCTCTGTGATTATCAGAACCTATGTGATTTTCAAAGCCTGTTTTTGTGTTCAGCCTAAAAGAAATTACTTTATTTTTTCAAGACATACAACAAAATTGAAATTACCTGAAGATACCAACACTATACATGAAAATCTCAAAGTCTGGAGATTACACATGGCAATCATCTATCAGTTTTTTTCCCCAAGATTGGAATTTTCTAAAATTGTCCTAAGACTCTGCTAAGTAGTACAGTTGAACAAATTTCAAACTCTTAAGTACGAACAGGCAATAGCATGAAGTTGATTCGTTTTGAAACTATACATTTTTGTTTCGATGAGATTAATGCACTTGACAGTAGGCATATTGGCACTGTAGCTAAAATTAGAGCTATGGCACAATATATTACCTGGACATTTCATTCATAGGGAAGCCTTGATGGCTAAAGTTAAGTCATCCAAATTCAAAACTATGTTAGGAAATAGCATTACAATAAAACAACTTTATTAAGGCAAAGACTCTGAAAGTACAATTTTTTCATTAGTTTGTGATGACATGAGTAGTGAACAAAAAGATTTTCTTTTTCATTCTGAAAGTAGTAGCTTTAATGGAGTTTGGTACTCACAAAACTCCTTGAATTAAGAGAAGTCTTGCTGTATGTGAATGAAATTAAAGCGATTTCACACAATTTCTTGCTGACACATGTGGCTAAAAACATAGGATATCTTTCAGATATATTCTCAAAACTAATTAAGCCGAATCTCTGTCTACAATGACTGTTCTCAATCCCCATGTGAATATAGATGGGTGTGAAAGGAAACTTAGTTTGTGGGTTAGTGTGTAAAACTGAGAAATTTTTCATCATTTTCAACCCTAAATCATTTTAGTAGAAAATAATCTCATTATTGGAAAAGTGTTGCTGACATATATTTGCATTTCAAAACTCTGAAAGGACAATCTGAATGAAACTTATTTACTGGGTAGTAAATATAAAGTATTTCCTTTCCATAGTGATACTGAAAATAATAATCATCAATGAATGAAACATAACACTTAACTGAACTCTTGAATGACACCAGATTTAAAATGAAATTCCAAGCAGAAAGTATGGTTAATTTTTGTACCTCATTAGCAGCAAAAATTAAATACAGTAAACTGTACAATGGTGCTTTAAAAATTAAATTCAATTTCTAAGTATCTGTGTAAATTTATGTATGAGCCGATCTGAGTTAGCTTACCAGCATACATCCAAACACAGGAAATCTGAGCAAGAATCAATAGGTTCATTCATGATTGTAAATACCAACATTTATTTAATTTTTAATAATAAGATAAAGATCATGAAAATCCTAACAGCCATGAACTATTAAAAATGAATATAAATTTTCTTCTATTAACTTCATATAAAATCAAATGAATTTCAATTAGCTGCATTTCAGATATATAAGTATACTGGTAGTAACATATGTTAAAAGATTGGTTTCGAAAAGAGGTGGGGTATAGAACATATTAAATTCTAAAATTAGTCTCCACTTGAAAAAATTATGAGAAATGCTGTTCTAGCCAAATTATCCAATTGCTATTTCATCAACATTTATTTCTTTTGAAAAGTCATAAAAAGACACAATTTCAAGGGTTTTCAGAAAAACTTATACAGAACCCCTCATTTCGCTGTTTTTGTATGTAATAAATAGCAACATTTGTTTTTATTTCACATACAAGTACAAATTTCTGTTTTCTCATTAAATGATGAAAAATGAAAGAATGGGCTGTATCCTTCCTTGATGTGGCAAATTCAGGATGAATCTGTGTTCTTTTATAACATTCTTGATTTATTCTTTTATAACAGCCATAAAAAAATATATAAAGCCAGTTCATTCGATCAGAATTCAAATTTTTGCTGCACTCTCAATGTTCAATAGTTTTATATACTCAGCTACTGATGGGCACTTGTTCAGTAACAATTAGATCATAAAAGATGTCTAGAACCTGGAATGATAAATCTGATGCACATAATAATTAAACTTTTCAAGTTAGTTATTGTGTGCATCATATTTATCATTTGTTAGACATCTTTTATGATCTAATTTTACTGAACAAGGGTCCACCAGTGAAATTGTACATGATAGATAAACTGTGAGATAAAGACTATCATCAGATAAATTGTACATGACAAATTTATAAAATGTCATTAATTATTCCTCACTAGCCCACATAGGGAGGTACAAATTATAATTTTAAACAATAATTTTACTATATTCGAAATAAGTTGAAATAAAATAATAATAATAATAAATTTTAGTAATAAGAAATAAGAAAACTTACATGCATAAAATATTGGTGCTACTTTGGTAGACGGTTGCACGGATTTTTGGCGATTTACGTTGGCGCGATTTCTACAAACGTCAGCCATCTTGAAAAACGCTGTTTTTACGCATAGTAAAGTATTCGAAACTTTAAAAAAAAAAAAAAAAAAATCGTTATAAATAATGGATTAATATTTTTGTTGAAAATGTCATTTTTTAAGATGGCAGGCAAGTGTAAATAAATACATTTACTATGAGTATAAAATACTAAAGTAAGGTTATTATTACTTTCATATAGCAAAGAAGAGAATAAAAACACCGCTATAAAAACATTGTGCCAAAGTTTAATTAGATTAAAATATTACTGAAATTGAATATCGAAATAAAAAACATCATCCAACATTTAAAAGAATTAGAATATTATTAAATTTAAATACTTTAAAATACGTTATATAGAATATAATATATATAATATATATATATATAATAAATACATTTACTACGAGTATAAAATACTAAAGAAAGGTTAAATTATTACTTTCATATAGCATAGAAATAGAATAAAAATACCACTATAAAAACATTGCGCCAACGTTTAATTGGATTAAAATATTACGTAAATTGAATATCGAATTAAAAACCATCATACCAACGTTTAAAAAGAATTAAAATATTACTTAAATTAAATACTTTAAAATAAGTAAATAAGAACGCTTCGTACACTAGAGCTAAAATGACAGCAATTAGTTTATTGTTGGTAAAAAAGGAGGAATGTCTACTAATTTTCTTACCGTTACAGCGGTTATTTCTTCCAACATGAACACATTATCATATACGGCCGTCTCAGAATCGGCTCTTCTAACGGTCTTCATCTGTGATCTACATTTTCGGACTTCATTGAAGAAACAATTAGCAACGTTTCCTTCAAAAATTTAAAATAAATTTCCTCTGACCCTTGTAAGAATTTATAAATAAATCTTTGATTAGGAAAGCCAGGCTGGCGAAAATAAGGTCTCAAAGGACAATTTTTTGATTCCGAAACCAAAAATTCTTGGTACTTATCAAAAACAACATTCATCTTTGAAGGAGACATTTTTGAAGGAATTCGAAGATATGAATTAAATTTTAAAATGGCGCGGTAATGCACAAATTTTCAGCAACCTATCGGAGCTGATTACAGCTCATTAATGCACAAATATTCTAAAACCAATCAGAGAGCTGATTACATCACACCTAGAATTAAAATTATTTAAATAATCATACATAATAAAATCATTTAAAAAAACAAATGCAAAATTAAATTGTATTTTAATATTTAACAGCCATAAATAATGTTTAAAACATTAGATTAAATTTATAGATATTAAAACCAATTACTTTTAAAGTAAGGTGACGTCACTGATTACATCATCCACAGCATAAATTTCATAAAATATGATAAAGAATAAAATTTTTATTTCAAATAAAAATGCAAAATTAATTGATTTTTAATATTTAGGAGCCATAAGTAATATTTAAAACACGGAATTTATGCATAATAACACGCATTATTTTTTTAATAAAATGTCAACAAAGTATCGGTTACCATAAATAACTTATCCAGCAATGGGTTTACCATAAGTCGTATTACTCGCCAAAAGAAAAATTGCCAAAAACTCGCCAAAATCCGTGCAACCGTCTACCAAAGTAGCACCAAAATATTTTTACTCGTGATCAGAACAGATACAAAAATAAAGCATAAGATTAATTCAGCAATTTTATTATAATTTAAAAATTATTTGATTCTGTATACCATCTTGATTTTGCACCATAATGTTAAAATGAAATTAAAAATTCATAAAATCATAGTAATAACTAGCCAATAACAATGTACATACACAGTTTAATAAACTGCCACTAGCTTTTCCTTCTTCCCAAGCAGATGTATCTATTGAATAAATACAAAGGGAAACAAATGTAACTTTCACTTAATGATTTTTAATTTTTAATTAATAAGATAAATTCTTAACAATTAATTCATAAAACTTTAACACATGACTGATATTAAACGAAAGCTTTCAGTTTCTCTCATAAATTGGATAAGATAACAAAATACAATTAGCTAAGAATTATACACAAAAAAATTACACGATAAAACTGAATTTTTAGTATTATTAATTTTTAAATAGTGTCAGAAAAATGAAACAGTAAAAAAGAAAGAGGCAAAATTTATGTTTTTAATGCAAATACCCTGAAAAAATATTTGTTTCCGGCATGTAAAGTTAGTTTGAAGTTACTTTAAGAAGTAATACCAGCTATAAACTTAATAAATTGCACACTACATTTTTAAAAAACTTGTAAAGAATTTGAAGCCTTTTATCGATTTAAATTGCCAATATTAACTTATGTAATTACAGTGCTACATAATACTTATATTAATAACATAAAGAATAACTTTTGATAAACACAAGCGCAAAATTTTTCCTGAGACTATGCAAATGTAAATTAGAATATCTAAAATCCACCAATGCCTGGAACCTATACAACCTCCCAAATGGCAAAAGTGAAACAGAGAGTATTGGCAATTTTTGATGACAAGTTTATACATTCAATGCTAAAGCAAGTTGTAACAGTCTGTTAATAATTGCTTTTATAACAGTCACCAAAAAATTATTTTGCTAAATATAATTAAATCTGTGCATATAACTGAATATTAACCTTGTATTACTCAGTCAAGCAATACTGCAATAATAAGAATTTTGGTACTTTTCTGTTAACATGGTAACAGCCAAAATATAAGCAAACGAGTCAAGAGATAACAATTTTACAATGTGAACGAACTGAAACTTTATGACTAAACCTACATTTACCCAGATATGTTTCCATGTGAGATTTTTAATGAAGAAACCAAGAAAGATTTTATGATTTGGCTAAAGAATGAAGAGTCTGCCATTAAATTCATTCAGGAAAAAGATGAAGGTCATTTTTCAAACACAGTAAAAAAAACTCAACTATCTGGAAAGCCCGGAAAATGTCGAATGTGAAAATTCCAGACAGTTGAGTGTGTACGGTGTATTTTATTTTTATAACAGTTATTTTTAATTTTGAAGCTCTTTCCTTTCAATTCTTGTTTCCCACTTACTACTCCCTACCAGAATCAGTTTTTAGAATCCTGTTGAATGCAAATGAATTGAAATATTTAGAGGAAGTTCAACTTACTTCGATACAGAGTGCCGAGTCTTTAGTGGCACACATTTGCCTTCTGGCTACTTTGTTCTTGAATTTATTACACTCAGCGTATTGTAGATGCCTGTTGAGAATCGTCGGCTAGGTTAATTTAAGGGCCAACTGTGTTAGCTATTTGTATCTAGCTTCAGCCGAATCTATTTAGTTTAGTATTAGATTAATTTCTTATTTTCTTATCCAGATTTAAAAGCCCAAGTGAAGGCTTTCCTGTAAGCCCATGAAGGAGCCATCTGTTATTATTTCTTTGGGTAGTTTAATCCTTCTTGAGTCTACATTGTAAATACCTGAACTCGACGATAATTTGCTATTTAGTTCACTAGGTTCCTCAACGTTATATGTAGACAAAGTATCGAGGAACATTATAAGTGTATAGAGAATGGTATTCACATTAGAGGAGTCAAATCAATGGAAAAAGTTTCCACTTTGAAATTTTAATAACAAGCATTTTATTTGTTATCAACCTAAATATCAAAAGCCTACATTTAAAATTACATTAAGATTTCCAGGGGGGAGGGGGGGGGAATGCATTTCGGTCATAAAGCCGACATATTTGGATTATCACAAAATACTGCCAAGCATGAAATTTGGTGAAGATGCTGCCAATCATTCTGCTAGAAGTTTAAACTAAGGCAGTGTTTTCTATTCAGTTAGATCAGAGTTTCTTAAACTATGGATAGCGACCTGCAGCAGGGGGGTCGCCAAAACTTTTAGCAGTTTTGATATTTCCTTAATTTATTATAATAACTTTACAATTACCAAATATTTTTACACAATATATTTGATAAAGATAAGACAGTACAATAACAGATAAGACAATGGATCTGATAAAGTAAGTGATAAAGATAAGACAGTACAGACAAAGAAAAAACGAAAACGTTTCGATGCATTCTTTTTATAATATAAACGTTCATTTTACTTGCTTTGGACATGACACTGTCACATTGTCTGTTACTTATTTAAAATTTTCACATTGTTGTATGTCTTGAAATTAAAAATTAAAGTTAATAACCTAAAATGCAATAGCTGTGGGATTTCACAAAATTTTCATAAATATTATGGGTGTCCTGGGGTCACGAAAAAATCTCAATGATAAAAAGGGGTCGTGACTGAAAAAAGTTTAAGAAGCCCTGAGTTAGATAAGAAAGAGATACAAATTATGGATACAACATATAAAAACTTAAATTGCATATGATTTTTCATATTACATTGATACGTTTCTAAAATCACGCATTGGTATTTTTTTTTTAATGCTGGGAACTAACAATTTAAAAAATATTCTGTTTCATGCAGTCCCAGATAATAATCCTTTTTTTCAAAATGTGAGGAAAAATAGAACCCATATATTTCTTTGCAAAATTTAAACCAGCTTATTGAAAATTAATCGAATTAACTTGTAGCATTTTGAAAATGCTAAATCAAAACAACCTTCTTATGATTGTACTGTGATTATTGGTGATAAATCACACTGTTTAGCAACAATATATATGTGTTAATAATGTTATGACCTCTATAATTAGTATTACAAATCACTCATTTACTAAGTTTTTTTTTTTTTTTTTTTTTTTTTTTAAATCTGCCAAGGAGAGTATTTTTCTAAAATTCTTAAATGTTGCATAACTTGAACTTTTCAGTTAGTTGAATGCCAGATAGTCAGGCCTTTTAACATGATCACATTTTTTAGCAGTGATGTGTTGTGAATCTGTTATTAGGATTACAATTATTATTTTGAGGCTAAATTTTGAGCTGACATTTATGTTTAATCATAATATTTAAGGTTAGTAATTTTTCAGTTGAAACTTGTAAATATTCTAAGGGAAAAAATCATGAAATATATAAAAGTACAGCTTTCTGATTATCTGCACCCCCCAAAAAAGTCGTTAACTCATTGCTGATGTTATAAATTTGCAAAGATTTAGTTTGGATGTCTTCGTGACCTAAAGATGCCTTTTGTCAGCTGGAAAAATTTGTCAGCATTTTGAAAATGCTTATTCTTATTTCTCAAATCTCCATACTATCTCTCTTGTAGCATATCTTTGATTGTTTAAAATGAAAGCATTTTTTAAAATAAAAGTTCACAGATCCAATTCCTAGATGATGGCAAAGTTTGTGAGTGAGTGAGGCTACCTAAGAGATTTGTGTTTAGCTTTTTTTTTGTGCAGACTTTGGAAAATTCTTGCTGGACATTAATTTAATCCTTGAAAACAAAGATATGTCCCAAAAAGTATGGAATGCATGTCAAACTCCTATCTCAAGTGGACCAAATGTTCATCAGTATACAAAAATGTAGGCCGCAAGGGGAAAAAAAAAAAAAAAAAAAAAAAAGGCCACTTTCTTTCTTAAAGATGTATTTACTGAATTTTTTGCTTTCAAATTGAATTGCACTGGATTTCTATTAATAGCATCTATAAATGAGCTGACACTTTTTCAATGCCAATTGAAAAGAGGCAGAAGGCAAGGAAAGCTCATCTTCGATAGATCCGATATCATGGAACTTTTATTTGAATTTATTCTTTATACACTCAAGTTTCTCAGCACACACTTTTTGTAAAAAAAAAGCTCCCTTTTCGTTATTATTTTATAGTGCTAACTTTTTATTAATTTTTGAAGTGAGCTGTGGACCTACGAAAGATGAGGAGAGAGAGCCACCAGTTTAAGACAAATGATGCAAGATGATCGTAATTCTAATTCACATATCAAATATGTAATATTCCATTTAGTGATTTCAATAAAAATGTGAGCTTTGATTTTTAAAGTCGTAAGGTGTATATTAATTTTATAACAGTTAATTTTAATTTTAAAACCCTTTCCTTTCAGTTCTTGTTTCCCACTTACAACTCCCTACCAGAATGAGTTTTTGGAATCACTTTGACTGAAAACGAGTTTGAAGTAGTATTTATAAGAAGTTTAACTAACTTCGAGAGAGAGAGAGTGCTTAGGAGTCCTTAGTGGTACATGTTTGCATTCTGACTAACTCATTTTTGAAGCTGTTATGCTCAGCTGTATTGTACGTGCCTGCCGATAATCGTCAGCTAGTTTAATTTAAGGGTGAACTACGTAAGGCATTTGTGTTTAGCTGCGGCCAAGTCTATTTTAGTTAGTATTAGATTAGTTTCTTATCCTGATTTAAAAGTCCGTAGAAGCTTTCCTGTAAGCCCCAGAAGGGGCCAATTGTTATCATTTCTTCGAGTGAATAAAAAGATATTTTAACCTTTCTCGAGTTTATGTCGCCTACTTGAACTCAGAGATAAGTCGCTACTTAGGTCACTGGGTTCCTCGACATTTTATCATAGACAAAGTAGCGAAGGACATTAGAAAGTCATAATTTGTACCTCTATTTGCTGTATACCAGATCATATTTTGGAAACTATCTTTCAATAAGCTGTTTTAACACAGAAAAATATTTCCATAGTACTTATTTTTTTACTCTTATGCTCTCCTTTAATATATGTAAGATTAAAATCGCAATAACAACCTTGTATTTAGCGTACGTATGTGAAAAAACACTCAATCGTTTTCGAGGGCAGCTAAAGTTCCCTCTGCATCAGGAGAACGAAATTACTAGAAAGGGGAAAAGGAAGAAAAATAAAGCACTGGCAAAGAAGTCTCAGAAACATGTGGTTGTTATCAGCACACACATGGCCATAACCAGATTTTGAATCAGATTACACTGGCCGCCTACCTTTATTGAGCCAGGCTATCTGATCAAACATATAACACATAGACTAAAATGCAAACAAATCAAGGAAGTCAAAAAATAGGGAGCGAGGGGCAACTGCACTTTCACGCACCAAGACTGAACCTTGAATGAAAAAGTAGTAAGCTCAGTAAAAGTAGGCGGCTAGTGTAATCTGATTCAAAATCTGATTACAACCACGTGTGTGCTGATAACAACCACATGTTACTGAGACTCCTTTGCCAATGCTTTATTTTTCATCTTTTCCCCCCTTTCTAGTAATTTCATTCTCCTGATGAGGAGGGACCTTTAGCTGCCCTCAAAATCGATTGAGTGTTTTAACATATGTACGTTAAATAGAAGGTTGTTATTGTGATTTTAAGAGTCACATTGGCGAGTTTCTCTTCTATTCTGAACCATTTCGCAATATTTTTTTAAGAATGTACGTCAGTAATTTGCACATGTGCAGCATCTTCCCTCATCTCTTGCATACAAATGGATATAATTTTGAATCTTACCTGCAGGGAGTGTCCTTCATATTGCATGATAGAAATGTTTAAGAAGACTAGCTCCCCCTGCCTGTGATATAGTATTCATTATTCATTTCCTGGCAGCAAGAAATGTGACCCTAGGAAGTATTTACTGCCAGAAGCTGTGCTGGTTAACAATGCCTTGAGTGATGTCAAAGCTTGTGAGTGAGTGAGGCTGTTTAATAGTAATTCGGCACATGCGAACATGGCGGCAAGCAGTGTGTCTGTGGCTTTTGAGTAGTGGTGTGTGATCTCTTGTGAAGGAGAAAGTTAAACAAGCTGCAACTTTCAAAAGATTGCAAGCACAGTATGGCGAACAAATGATGTCACGGACAAGAGTGTACGAATGGTGTGAACAGTTTTGCAAAGGAAGGGAGCTGGTCACAAAGGAAGTGCATGGACACATTCGCCTGACTGCAGTCACACCGGTAAATATCCCACGTGTTGAGCAAATGATTCTTGAGAACCAGCGAGTAATAGTGTGGAACCAAGGTGAATATCAGTGTCGGGAGTATTAAGACAATCATCACAACCACTTATGCTTCCGCAAAATCTGTGCAAGGTGAGTTCCCCAGCAACTGACATTTGATCAGAAGTGGTCACACATGATGGTCTGTGAACAGCTTCTGAATTGGTTTTGAGCCCAGTTGAATTGTTGCAATCCATCATCACGTGTGATGAAATATGGTTGCACAATTCAACCCCAGAGACAAAAAGAAGCAGCATGGAATGATGGTATAAAGATTCCTCGCCACCCAAGAAAAGCAAAACGCAACCATCGGCTGGAAAGAACATGGCAAGTATCTTCTGGGACGTTAATGGTGTTATCCATGTGGATTTTCTGGACAAAGGAAACACATTTAATGTCCAGTATAACTCCACATTGTTCAGTGGTGCTGTACGAAAGTCCATTCACAAGAAAAGACCTGGGAAGTTGTCTGGAAATGTCATTCTTCTCCATGACAATGCCCGCCCTCACAAGGCCAATGTGATAACAACAACTGTGGCTGAAATGCGTTGGGACGTTCTGCCCCCTCCCCCCTACAATCCAGATTTAGCCCCCCGTGATTATGATTTGTTTGCACCCTTTAAAGACAATCCAGAAGGGAAGAAATTCACGATAGATGAAGCGCTGCGGAACGATGTCCTCCAGTGGCTACGACAAAAACCAAGCTCTTTCTACGCCAAAGGAATCAGGGAGCTGCCATAATGATGGCAACAGTGCCTTGACGTACATGGAGAATACTTTGAAAAGCTGGCATAGTTTGGTGCTTCTTGTGCTATCTGTTTCTTCTGAAGAAATAAAAGTCCTGGTCAACCTTGAATGACCCTTATAATAAACATCTTGATTCATGGAAATAGATGATTCCCCCTTTCCACATGATCAATGAATTCTCATAAGTTTTGCAGGCTGGGCTACAGAAAGTGTACTTTGAATGAGTTTTGAAGATGCTAACCAAAGCACAAAATAAAGAAATTATATGTATTTTGCAGTTTTTGAGCTCATACCCTAAATATGATGATGAACTGTTGAGCCACTACAAACAAAAGTTGCACCTGGGGATCTTTTGGCTGGCAGCTGCTAAATCACCTTCCATATAGCCCAGAATCAGCATTTACAAACTACTATGTCTTTCTGCACCTGAAAAAGTTTCTCAGTGATAAGCATTTCCAAACCAATGAAGTAGTGATAACAAAAGTTCAGAAACCGCTTTCCTCTTAGGGGAGGTCACTTCTACAGCACAACAAAAAGTAGTCTCATACTACTAAAAGGTTTCGACAACAAAAAAATATGTGGAAAAATATCTAAAGGTATGTAAAATCTCTAAAATAAATAAATAAATAAAAAAATTCCTGAATGTTCAGTAATCCAATTTTTATTGTAAAACGGTTCTTTCTTTAAAATTCCCAGTCTTCCATCTCCACTTGGTGAAAATCCACAATTAATTTTTTGAGCAAATAGAGTACCAAGAAATGGTGGTTGAATAAGATATGAACTTGAATAGCATACTTAATAAAAATGTCCCTATAAATGCTTACCTTACAAGACTTTTGTAGAATTTTCCTCTCCATTAGCTAAAAACAATGCAAGATGTATAACTTTTCAAAATACAAAATATTATTTTAAACAATCCTTTTTTTTTTTAATTACTGAAGTGCTATTTTTCATAAATAAAGACTCAAAAAACTTTAAAGAACTTTTTACATAAGGAAGAACAGTACTCACTTTTATGTTTAGCCCCAGAATATGCATAACCAATTTCCACTCTAGGTTCTTTGAGAATATAAATAATTTTATCACGGATATTTTGATCCTTAGTCACTTTTAGAAGCTGTCGAATGTCTTCATGCAGCTTTGTCTCTCTTTTCTAAAAACATTCTTTAAATTAATTCATTTCAACATGAAATCAAAACTTAAAGGATGATTATTTCTAAAACGATTTATCTTTATTGGATAAAACTTTGCCTTTCTACATTAGATTCACAGAAACATTTCAAGTATCAAAAGGATTATAAACAAATGCTTGAATTAGATTTTACAAGTTTTAATAGACACAAAGAAAAAATACAGTTACTAAACTATAAGTAAATACTAAACAGAATAGCAGGGTATTTATAAAGCACTAAAAAATTCTAACTATTGGGAGGCAAGAAACTTTCAGAAGAAAAATTGGTACTTTCTGATTAGTCATACTCCCTCTCTTGAAATGTCACCAATTCATTGGCAACTAGTTTTTTGCCATGTTAATATGTGAAAGGCAACAGCCATTGTCAAAATGGAAACCTATTAAAAATCCATAAAACAGCAATCAATTAATAAAATTTAAAAAGCAAGTAACATCAGTAATAAAATATCTGGCTCTTTTAAGAAATGCTTATATTCACTTTTTGAAGTGGATGCTGTTGTTGTCCTCTCATGTACGCAGCAATCTATTTTTTTAAAAAAGACAATTGTACAAGTTTGACATCCTGCACATTACCACAAAAGGTATACACATTTCTTGGAGATAATTAACCAATCTACAGTTGTGTTTGGGTATAATTTCCAGGTCTTTTTCATACAACTTCACTAATGTTTTTTTTGTCCAACAATAAATGAAATGAACAGCTGTTGTATACAACATACGCCCATCTTCAAACCAATATCTGATCTACATCCTAACACTCTGTTTGATATTTTTTACATTGCATTTGCATAAAATATGATCATTTAAAAAATGTAACTTCACAGAATGTGAATTTCTGCATTCTCTACTGTTGGGTAAGATATCATATTTCTAAAGAAATGCAATGCTTTCTTTTTTCACCGCTGGCAAATTCCTGTCTTATTACAATTCATTACAAGGGGGCAAAAATGTCAAAAACAAACATTAATCGGAAAAAGTGAGTCTCAGATTTGGAAGGAAGAAACTGACATGCACTGAAATCTATATCTCCTGTGCTTGCATGCATATCAGCGATGCCACATAAATACATTTTGGTGAAAATGGGCTGCCATATAACTATTCTGGTGACATAGTGCATTGCCTCATAATTATTTTTTGGGGGAAGGGGAGGATAATCAGAAAGAAAACAAAAATTAATCATACATATAAAATATATCTACATGCACACAAATATGAACGCATGTGCAATGAAAATTTTGAATCTCATAAATGATGATAAAAAATGAATGTTATATACAGGTGCAGTTGAGTATTTCTTTCTTTCTGATATCACATAAAAATATGCAGCTAAATTAGTGCAAGATGCATGCTGTAGTTATTAGCTTATTTTTTACATCTTCAGCAGAAAAAGGTGTGAAAAGAAGGTGAAAATTATAATACTGACACTTGATTAAGAATAGCAGTTATTGTTTAGCTTTGTTTCTTTGGTTGATTAAAAGTTTTGGTTTGCAAATCTTTCCTTACTATAGAATGAAAGACCTTCAGTTACATTTTTGCTGTTAAGTACAAATAAGTGTCATTAGACACATAACAGAATATAAAATAAGAAGAAGAATCATATGACACAAATTAATTTCAATTTTATTTTATACTCCCTTTCGAAAAGAGAATGGCTTCAAGAAAAGTCTTGATGAAAAAAAAAAAAAGCATTAAAGCAGTAGACAATGAGAATTATCATACAGAAAATACAAATTATGGAAACTTGAACTAAATTTCTAAAAATGCTGGATGCAAATTTTAAGCAATATATTTTTGGGAAATAACACAGTTCTTAGATTCTGAATTTTAGAGTTGAAATTTCAATCATCAGTCCCTTTGTAACATTTAAATTTAACTACTAATTAGCTACATGCTAATTTCTTTCTTTTATAACTTGCTTCTTGATGTACCACTCAGTCCAGAGATTTATGCAAATTAAGGCAGGAAGAAGCATAGATTAAAACTAAGAGGATATTTCATCTGACATTCTGAGTAGAATTCTCACTGTTGAACTTGTTTAAACAGCCAACCTTCATTGGATGGTTGTCTCTTCAGAAGCCAAACACCTGACATTAGCTATGTTTGGTAAGTATAGAAATTTAGTTGTATGTTTCCATCCATCCAGGCAACACTGTAGCTGTGTTCAGCTTTGTTTTTGTTGGAAATATAAGCTAGCAGTGAGTTGCAGTGGATGAGAAGTTGAAATATTTGTTTTGTATTGTTTTTAATTTTATGCCTCAAGCTATGGAAAATAAAATATTTATTTTAGTTTTTATATTTTTAATTTTCTATGTTCATAATGAGCATTAAAGATAATAAGTAGCAAATCAGTAGAGTTAACTTCTAAAGATTAGGGTTTTTTTTTTTTTTTTTTTTGGTTTACTAGAATACGGCAAAGCACTCGAGGGCTATCTGCCTTAAGGGAGGGATGCCTTCGTGGAGGACTTTTTAAGGGAAACTGGCTCGTATACACGTTACACATGGGGAAAATCACGAAAACACCCATGCAGCCAGCCCGTTCGCGGGATTCGAACCTCGGACCGAACTACCAGCGTTCAGCAACGTTACTGCTCGGCCGCTGGTGGGCAAAGATTAGGTACATAGCAAGTAGTTAAGCAGACACATATAGATGTTATAGTGATGTATGATGGAAAAGGTTGAGTAATTGTTTGTGCATTTATGAAAAGTTAAAATTAGTGCCAGGAAAATCTAAATTTATAAGTAGCTAATACTGTAAAAAGATAACAAAAATGGCAATGAAGAGGTGATAAAGCCCCAGTGTTGGACAAGAATGCATCAGTCTGGCAAGATCTGATTCCAGGCCAATTAGGATCTATTAGAGGGATCTTGCCAATTGATTTAGCATGATGCTAAAATTAAATATGAATTTTGATTTGACAGGCTTAGTGCTATATTTTTTGGAATAGCAGAAAACTCATTTTGCATTGTATTCAGTACCAAAATTTAAGAGGGTAATAATGATAACATCATTGTTAAACGAGGGGCATCAAACTGATTTGAGCATATCGACAAGACACTGCTCGGGTACATCTATGCACCAAGTTGTACATACGGGGAATTTAAGCAAATGTTAAAAGTTATATAATAATATGTTCAAGATAAAAAAACTACAAAAGAAATACTTAAATAGAGGGATAAAAAGTTGAGAGGCCAAACATCTCTTCTTAATCTTAAACCCTTTCAAGTTTCATTTAACATGACTGTGATGAAAAATGTGGAATTACCATATGCGCTTATGCAGTTAATGGGAGGCTGAAAAACACCTATGTTAGACAGCAGTAGTGCAAGAAGCTTTTTTTTCTACTGTTGGCTAGAATTTTTACAAGCATTTTAAGAAATATCGATTGATTGAAGTGCAAAGGATGGAAGAAGTGAAAGGCAATGTTTGGTACTAGGCAGCATAATTTTAAATGTAATGGTTAAAAATTATTTAATATCATTTTGGTATTAAAAAAAATATTAGCTGAATGCTATTTTAGCAGAGATTTCCTGCAGAAGGTCAAGTCCTGATTAGATATTAAAGAAAGCATCAATACACTAGATATAAAGGCAGGTGGACATGGCAGCCTAACTTACTGCCCAGAACTTGTTAGAACAGCTTGAATCAGCACACACATCATAGGATTCATACATAAAACTAGCTTATTAAAAAAAAAAAAAAAAAAAAAAAAAAAAAAAAAAGATTCAATTCTTTTTTTGCATTTGTTAATTAAAAATCTCTTTTAAACCATTAAAGATTATCTTAAGCTCTCTGATGTCAACACATTTCCCATCATTTAAAAAAACCTGGGAGACTGACTTTAATCAACGATTCTTTTTTTGTAAATCATGATTTAAATCATTGATTTTAATCAACAAATTAAAATCACCGATTCTCTGGAAATGAAAAATATAATATCTGATTGTAATTGTTAAAAAAGTATAAATAGTCTCATTTTCAAATTATACTTTAAAATAATGCTATTACTTACCTTTAATTCTTCATTTTCAGTAGATAATTTTAAAACACGCTCCCGTTCTTCAAAGCAACTGAGCTGGAGCTCAACTAAAGCTTTCTGAAGGTCAGATATTTTCTCCCCTCTTCTTAAAACTTCAGCTTCAAGTTCATGCTAGAGAATTTAGAAAAATAAATAAACTATTGCCTAAGCTATAAAATTGCCATATTCTTAGATTTTACTTATTAAAAAACTATTAATATGTATTTATTTAAGGAACTTCACAGCTGACAGAGAAACTGTACTCAGAAGTTTATCAGTCAGCAATATTGTGTTCCAAAAAATACATCTTACAAAGCTATAAAAATCAATATAATAACTCATGAAAGACTTACTTTCACTATCTGTTCAACATAATATTGCAACAGTTTCCTTTTTAGCAATTTATATATTAATTTTCATTCTCATGTCTATATTTTCTTTACTAATTAATTGACATTTTATGCTCATATATTGCAATTTAATTTTACTACTAAAAATATTTAAGTTATAAATATCAGACATAGATTTTTGGTTCTCCCTGACCATAAAATTTCTTTTCTTTCCTTTTAAAGTATATATATATATATATATAAGTAGTTATTTAAACACAGTCATGTTGCAAAATGGGTATAATTTCTGTTTATTTGTTTTATTTAATGTGTTTGGGCATAATTTTTGTTTTAATGCGATGCTAAGAATGAAGAACCCAAAAGTTCATATTCTTCATACTGTGTTCTTTTATTTTAAAAAAGGAATAAATGCTAGTCAAATTGCTCATAAAATTTACGTGGTTCTTTCCTGGAAATAAATATAAAAGCTCCTTTTTTCAAACAACTCATTACTAGAGATGAGAAGTGGATACCATATAACCATGTTATAGGAAAGATTAAGAGGGAGCTTCATCCAAAAAAAGTAATATTCTGTGGATGACAGGACTACAAAGAATATACTATGAATTGTTGCCAGCAAATCAGACAAATTTGGGAAAATGCTGTTCCCAATGGCAGCTTAAAAGTAGAAAGCGAAGCAAAGCACCCAGAACTGACTGGTCATTGAGGTGATGCTTTCCATCATGATCTCTCTTCGGCCTCCCATTTCAATGACTGTCAGAAGAAGACTAATTAAGTATGGCTGGGATATTTTGTATCATCTGACATATTCACTAGACCTTGCACCTTCAGATGACTTCAAAATTTTCTGAATGACCTAAGTTCATTTCTTTAGAGACTATCAAACAGCACCTCAATAACTTCTTCAAGAACACATGTAATGGCTCCTTTAAAAAATCTGATAGGGCTGGTGACCACCTGCCAATCAAAAAATCAGATGACCTGCCAATTCCCTTTTAAACACCAGTGAGCTTTAAATAAAGTATATTTTTTGGTTAATCCTATGTGAAAAAAGTCTAATTTGTTGTTCTGATAAATACTACAAACATCTTTACTTTGGTAAAACGGTAAAAACTCTAAGCACAAAATTTATGAACTTAATTTTGCGAAAAATAAAGTAAAATTAAATAAGATTGATAGTACGTGATGCTTTGAAATAAATAAGGTAAAATTAAACAAGATCTGATAATTTTTTTAATTTAATGACCAGTTTCAGGCAGTGATTTTCAAAACTATAATAACATTAGAAAACAATAGTTTATTTGATTAAATCATCATTAACTTATTAACATTAAAGTGGAATATTTATTTTAGTAATTTATTAAATTCGGAGCATAAAATTTCTGAGTGTAATGAAGGGAAAAAAAAAAAGGTAAAATAAAATCTAGAAGCACTCAGATTTTATATTACGCCCAAAAGGAACCTTTTTTTAACGTTTCGTGTGTTACCTATATTTATTGAATATCATGTTCTTCGCCCGTAAACCACATACATTTGAAAACAGCATATCTTTAGAATTTCCACACTGGAGATAAAACTGTTATTTTCCGTACAGTGCTCGCTCTGAACTCGTTGAGTTTGTTAATCAAAAATGCGTTAAAGTTTTACAAAATATGAAATAGATTAAAACAAATTCGAAATTCGGCTGTCCAGATGCCCATGTTCGGGTGGAGGATTACATTATTCAATATTTTATGGCTCTAGATACTGTCGTTTTTGTCACAGTGCGAGAAACATACATGTATTCATGCACCCGTTTGGGCTAATAAATTAAATTAACAGTAAATAAAAAAAATTTATGCAGAACTAAAAATAAATAAAAAAAATAATCACTATAAAATTCAAGCAAAATTAATTATTATGGTTAAATACAATTTTAATATTAGAATTAAATGTAAAAAAAAATTTAAGGAGTCAAAAGTGTTTATCACTATGATGTATTATGAAATATAATTGAAATAAAATTCCTTTATAGAAATTGTGCTATAATGCTTATCTACAATTTTAAGAAAGCAGCACAATTTAGAATTTTAAACGAAACTTTCAAAAATTCGTTTTTAAATATTTTAGTATTTTTTACTTATTTACACCAATAAAAAGCATAAAAATTGCAAGAGAAAACAGCTTGTTTGAAATTTTCTATAGTTCAGATTTAAAATATTATTTTCTAAAAGAAGTAGTTACAAATTTCCTTATATCATAGGAAAAGCTAAAAAAATATCCAGCTCTGAAATGCAATAGCTTTATAATTATTTGGAACATTAATTATGCTTGATAAATATGCTACATTTTTAAAAATCATTCTCAATTTCAAAAATAAAAATATGTAAAAATTCTAATTTGTGTAATTCGGCGCTACAACCAACTTTTTCTTGACAATTATACATTATTATACATATTCATACAATGTACCAAATGCAGAATATGCACTGTAACATATGTAAATAATTTAATGCAAATCCCTAATGAAGTAATGTATGTTCCTAATGTACAGTATTCGTCTAATGTGTCATATGTCGCTAATGTAACCATGAATCCTTCCAGAATTGTATAACTGTAACAATACGAGATCGAAATGAATAAAATTTGTACAATGTACCAAATGTAGTGTATGCACCGTAATATATGTAAATAATACAATGCAAGTCTCTGATGAAGTAATGTATGTTCCTAATGTAGTGTATTTATCCAATGTATTGTATGTCTCTAAGGTAACCCTGAGTACTTCCAGAATTGTATAACTGTAATTATCGAAGACATTCGTACAAGGTACCAAATGTACAGTATGCACTGTAACATATGTAAATAATTTAATGCAAATCTCTAATGAAATAATGTATGCTCCTAATGTAGAGTATTCGTCTAATGTATCGTATGTCTCTAATGTAACCATGAATCCTTCCCGAATTGTATAACTGTAACTTCCAGAATTGTATAATTGTAAGATCGAAATGTATAAAATTTGTACAATGTACCAAATATAGTGTATGCACCGTAACATATCTAAATAATGTAATGCAAGTCCCTAATGAAGTAATGTATGTTCCTAATGTATTTATTCAGTGTATTGTATGTCTCTAATGTAACCATGAATCCTTCCAGAATTGTATAACTGTAACTATCCAAGATATTCGTACAAGTACCAAATGTAGAGTATGCACTATAACATATGTAAATAATACAATGCAAGTCTCAAATGAAGTAATGCTCAATGTAGTGTATTTATCCAATGTATTGTATGTCTCTAATGTAATAATGAATCCTTCCAGAATTGTATAACTGTAATTATCCCAGAACGAAATGCGTAATATCCGTACAATGCACCAATGTAGTGTACAGTGGCGTAAATTAGGGTATGCAAGGAATGCAGTCACATAGGGGCCCGAAGGCTTAGGGGGCCCATGAATGTCCTGCTGAACTGCATTTACATATTTAAACTTAAAACACGTACAAAAATCATGTATTCCAGTAGTTTAGTGCACCAAAAAGTTTTCTTAAAAGAAGGGGTGCGGAACTTTACCATACATATTTTCTACAAAAATTGTATGCTCAAATAGTTATCTTTATGAAATTTATGATAAATATGTTTTATATTTAGCAAATGTATCATTTACATTATAAAAGTTCTTATTTATGACATATATTATTGCATAAGTCATGTTTGTACGCTCAATCGAGCACAGAGCGCTATATATTAGTGTAACTTCTTTTTTTATACGTTTACCTATCATGTTGTCTGTCAGTTTATAACATAACCAGTTATTTACTAGCTTGCTAAATTAAGCAAAAAAAACTTGGATTGGCACAGATTTTATATAGAAACTCGAAATATACTTGCATGTAAAACCTACTGGATTTTATTTAAAAGTCTTCGCAAATCTAGACTTTCTTCCCCTCTTTTGTTAAGCACAGTAAATTTACTTGGGGGGGGGGGCAGGAACATTTTTTGCACTGGGGCCCAAGAGTTCTAGCTACGCCACTGGTAGTGTATGCAACGAAATATATGTAAATCATGCAACACCTCTAATGAAAGTATGTACATTATGTATTATGTGTATTGAGCATATTTCCGCATAGCGCTTCTGCTTTACGCATACCTTACTATGTCTCCTATGTGTGCAATATTTGCATTTATGTGCTCTATGTGTTTCCGTATGTATTCTGTGTTATTCATGTTATGTCTTTTTGTGTGTGTTTTTATGTCTTTATGTTATGTAATTATGAATGTGTTTTTATGCTTTTATTTTTGTGTATCTATGTGTTTCAGCTTATATGTGTGTTTTAGTGTTTCAATGCTATTCTTTATATTCTTTTTAAGTTACTTTGTTTTATAAACAACGTCCTATGTAAAATCTACTCGACATCTAGCCCCAGTATGGCCATGAAAACTCCCAGTGCAGCATCATGGGGCTCCAGCGAGTTGTTTCTTCGAGATAGTGGAGGACGTGAGACATATGCCTGTTTACCTATGTTATACACCAGGCATCCCCGTTCTCCGTCACCTGTCTAAAAGAGTTACCAGAAATAAAGAAAAAATATATAATGTTTTAACAAATTCAGTTGCATGATTTCCCAAGTCCAGTTGGAAATCAATACAGAAGATGAAGAACATCATTTACTGCCTCTTAAATCGTTTAATTTACTAATCAATAACAGGCAGATTAAATTTTTAAAAAATATTTTAAATATTACACTCTATCAAATGACAATAAACTGGTGCTTAGAAGTTAAAAATATTTTATATCCAATACCTTTAAAATTCTTGATTATTTTTTAATCAAATCTTGTTAAATGTTGCCACAGATTCTATTTGCTATATTTCTTCTTTAAAAACAATACATAGGGATAACATTTGGCAGCAACACACTTTCATTTGTGTTGCCATATATTTTTTATATATTCACTATATTATTTCCTAAAAAATAATACATGATGATAACATCTTGTGGCTGCATTTGAAAAATGATATAAATACAAAATTGATATGGACACAAAAGTAACACAGACAAAAAAGTCAGGTCTGAGAGAAACAGCACCTCTGGTGCTAAAAAAAAGAGTGTTTATTATTAATACACATTTCAAATATACATACCCTATCAGCAATAAGATCTTTCAAGTGCTTATCAACTTTCTCTTTGAATTTATCATCCTTCTTCTGATATTCATCAAATTTTCTTTTGTAGAATTCCAGCAAATTTGTATTTTCGGTAGGATCAGAAGCACTAATACCACTTGATGAAGAAGTCTTCCCATCAACCATGATCCAGCTAAACAGCTTTAAAGGCAGATATTTATTCAAGCAGAAATAAAATTAAAAATTATATTAATTACAAATCAGACAAACTTTAATTATTATTACATAATTCTAGTTGTCGAATTAAAGATTCAACAAAATTAATTTAGTTTCTAGAGTATTTCCATGCAAGAAATACAGGGTGTCTAAAAAAATGTACTCCCACTTAGAATGATGAGAAAAACTTTATTTCTGAACACAGAGTGAAATGGAAGGGCTTCGAATACAGAAGACAAATATAATAAAGTAATCATGTTCATGAATGTTCAAATTGATAACCATCATTGTCCAGAAAATGCTGATAACGTGCACAAAGGGATTCGCAAACATCCCGAAACAGGGCATCAGGAATATCGTGACATTGTCCTTCAATTTCCAATTTTAATGCATAAATTTTTCTTGGTTTGATGCGATAAACTAAAAGACAGAAGACAACAGTAAGACAAGAAAGCATGTATTTATTGGCAAATTAATTCCATCTGAAGCTTCCAGGAATAGATAAAACAGAAGCAAAGCAAAGATCTGATAATCCAGGATGCCAGAATCTTCAACTTCAGCAATGCCAGATTATCAATTGTATTGGTTTACCAGACTGAAATTGTTTCCAAATCATATACTTGTGCATTGCTCAATACACTGATGAATGAAAAATTTACGCATAGTAATTTTGAAAATATATTCAACAAACAATTTATATTGGTAAATACATTTATGCAAAGTTTAACTGGTATTTTCTGATTATCCACACTTCTACCAGAAAGCTGTAAAAAGGTATTGGTAAGGCAATGATCAGTCAATTGGGTTGATCTTTACAATATGGTAACTGGTAGTTTGGCGACATTTTGGAGGCGATAAAGGTTACTACCTGGGACTTTGGTAATAATGTGAGCAGTACTCAGTTCCGATTACGCATTATTTTGTGTGAGGGAAATGAGAGATCATGGGATATGTCATGTTATATTAATGGACGAATTACGGTTCTTTAATCGGAAAAGGGGGGAAATCGGGAAAAAATCTGGAAATTTTGTATTTGGTTTATTCTGTGTTGTGTGAAACAGTGTTCGTGAATTTTTGGATCCCATGGCCGTAACTAAAGAAAAGTTTATCGGACACGTAATCAAGATTCTGAAGAAGATTAGGTAAGTTAGTATTTTTAATTATTTGAGGATATTATTTTTATGCATTGTTCTAAATGTAAGGTGGAAGTAAAGGCATTTGGTATTATTGGGAAAATTGTCATTAGCAATGATTTAGTTTAAAGTAATTAGGATTGTAAGGTAATTTTTATTAATTTAATGTATGTGCTCATTTATATATTAAGTAGTGTTTTTGAATTTAATTATATTTTAATTAAATGATAGTTATTTTGTGAATTTTATGTTTGTAGAAATTTGGTATACGTTTAAGTTGAAGTAAACGTGCATGGTAATAATTTAAATATTTGATACTAAGTATTTGTAATGCTTGCGGTATGAATTCGTTGGTGACATGTATAATGTAATAGATGATTTAGAGGTAAACGTTTTTGGATATTTTATTTATTTTATATGTGGAAATGTTCATATATGGAAAGGGTAAATACTTTTTCGCGATCAGGTAATTTCATATATGTTCTTTTTACCGGGTTTAAAGATTGAGAAAATTGTCATGTATTTTCGTGAAATTTTTCTAATTTATGAGAAAAAAGCAGTGTACATGGATATAGTGAAGAGTGTGCGCAATGCCATTTTTGTGCAATTCTGGGATGTTTTTTTAAGTAAAAATAAGTCGGCATGTACATGGTTTATGTGTATGTGGTATTTTGAAAACGCGTAAAGAGTACGGTATTGTGCACTTTTTCCCAATTTTGCAGTGAATATTTGTCATGATTAAGCAGTTTTGTTAGATAAAATTTCTAGCATAAGTGTAATTCGGCTAGTAGATTGTTGGAAGAAGTGTTCAGTAGATAAAAAGAAAAGAAACATGTCTTTACTTCGTGAAGACAAAATGGCGGCGGAAAAAAAAAATAGAGGGTTGCTGTAGGAGAGTTGGTCGCCAAATTTTCGCCAAAAAAACGCCAAGTTACCATAATGTAAAGATCAACCGTCAATTGATATTGACAAGGCAATGATCAGATCAGTATTGAATGAACAATGATCAGATCTCTAAAGTCAGCAATGATTGTGTAACTTTAGTGAAAGATAATGAGATAGCACCATTTAATTACATTTAATTAGTTTTCACTTTTTAATATTTTGCTTGAAAGAAATCATCACTGCAGCACATGAAGATATTTCAAATAAAGTTTGAATATCCACCTCCATAGATTCCATTCAATTTTTCTAATCTTTAATAACACATAAATATTTATTATTTTTTCCTTATTTAGCATAATGAAATTTTTATCCTTAATGCTTTCAAGTCAATTAATAATATTAAGCTTTTGATGAATTGTTAAAGGGCCAGTTTACGTCCTTATCAATAGTTTGATCAAGTTTTTAAAACATTTTTAAATAAATAAAGATAAAGAAAACAAATGATTATTCTAAAGTGAAGTTTTAAAAAAATCATTAATTGAAAATGGCAAGAAAATGCAAAGCAGATGCTGAATCTTATCGAATATTACTATTTCTAGTCGAGCCAAATCTTAAGAAGAATGTCAGTAAAAAAGGTGCTGTATTATCAGATTTGTTGGACTACTGAACTATGAAACTTTCAGAGTCGTTAGATTTATTGTTAAATCTAGGAAACTACGTGAACATCTTCTAGACTGATCAGATTACCTTACAACAGTACTATTATTCCAAGTATCTTATCTGATGACATACAGCATAATTTCAAGCTATATTATTAGAAGTTTGAACATGAATTTTCTAGATAACTGAAAACATGATAAACCTTACACATTTACTATCATATTGCAGGGAAAGCAATATTATAAAATCGGGCAATCTACTGAAAATCCTGTCTGTTAAAAATATATATTTTATTTCTCTTTCATTATAAGATCTACGACAACTTTAGTGTAGATTAATGTAGATTTCAAAAAATCTACATGTAGTCACGTGGATTTTAAAAAAGTTACGCGATTCTTATCTTGCTAGGTTCTGCAAAATCACGATTCCTGAAAAAACATCGAAATTTCGGAAATTTCATCGAAAATTTCATATTAGGAATTAAATTATCATGCTCTACACAGCGTTTAAATATGGGGGTTGAACTACATTATGTTAAATTTAAAGTTTCACATTTATCTCTCCTTTTAAATGCAACTAAGTAAGATAATACTTAAATGTTTATACCTAAATTTCGCTCCCATTCGTTGATGCAATATCCCACTACAATGGTAATAAAACACAGCGATTTTCTTGCCATAAAACATCATATGCACACCCTCATTGCAGATAAAAATATAAACAAGAAGTAGTAAACAAAACAGTAAGCAACGGAATTTGAATTTTGTTCACCGAGATTGAGTTTAGGCAATTTAATGCTGACTGTAAAGCTTATCGAATCTTAATGATGCACCGGATGTAAAAACATTGATACTTTTTCTCTTGATAATGTGGATGACAATTTTACTAGAACAAGAAAATGCCAAAATATAAAGTCTGCTTCTCAACATATAGTAGTATTAATTTTTAAATAAATATTTGGGAGTCGATGAAATTTTAGAGGATCAATGATCATCAGAGAATCAGCACCGACAGTTGATTGAAATAATCAAGATCTCATTGATTATAAAAATTTCTTAATAAAATTGATAATTATTAATATAAAGCTATATCGCATTGACGATGTTTTCAATGTAAACTTCAACAAACGATGTTTCTACCTGAAACTATGAATTCCACTACCAGTTCTACTTTGTTTGTCGGAGTTTTGAGATATTCCTCGGAGAACAGCTTTGGTGGCGCCAATTTGGCTCCTGTAAGGACGTGGGCGACATTTTATTATGCCAACGGAAGCAAGTATCAATTTTTTGCAGGTATATTTTCTAACATTTTTGTTTTACATTTCCTCCCCATACTTTTTGCGCAACGTTTTACTTGTAATTAAATTTATGTTTTCATTTAGTAAGTTCTAAATTTTAGCGCAAACATTGCCAAATTTGTTTTGTTATTATTACTTTGGCGACTTGAATTTTTTGATTTCCTGACAACCGTAGCGCTTATCTTGAAACAATCATTGACAAGTTGGGAATTCAAATAATTCTTCTTACTATGTCATCCTATAAGAATACATAAATGCTATTTCAGTATGTGATGCTTCCAAAATATATTTCTATTCCATGCTGTTTATGAATTCCTTTATTCTAGGAATATGTTATTTAATTGCAGAGAAGTTATTTTGAAATATATTTGCCACGTACGATGGCATTTTCTTCCAATTTCTTACTGCTAATTGAATAATTATATTGTTATTTATTTGTTTATCTTTTTAGCCCAAAAGGGACGTTAGTTCCGAATGAGATACTGGTCTTGAAACGGCATTATTAGTCTCGAAACGGCCTATCACTTTTCAAACTGTTGCCACCAATTATTATCTGACAGTATTATACTTAAAGAAGTTGAATAATGAAAAATTTGCATGAATGTACGTATGTTTCCCGTACTGTGAAAAAACAACGATACCTAGAGCCATCAAGTTTTGAATAACGTAGTTCCCACCCAAATATGGACACCTGGAAGCCCGAAATTTGAACTTCGAATTCGTTTTATTATCTATTTCATATTTTATTTAAACTTTAACGAAATTTTGATTAACAAACTAAGTGATTTCAAAGCGAACAGTGGAAACACTGTACGAAAAAAATATCTTTATCTCTAACGCGAGAGACTGCTTATCGAAAATTCTAAAGACATGTTGTTTTCAAATATTTTGTGATTTTGCAGTTGAATCGAAATTTACATCACATAAGCGCCAAATATGTCATATTTAATAAATAAACAGAAAAAAAATAATAAAAGACAAAAAAAAGTTTTATAAATCCATCTTAGTAAGAAAACTGAACACACAGATCGTATTTTATTCTCGAGTGTCAAGATGTAGAAACACCTTTTTACTCGGCTTCTGATAACAATCTGGAAGGAAAAGAAAGAAGAGTAGTGTAGTAGGAGGTGTGGGAGGGGGAAGAGAGTCAGGTCAGCGCTAACAGCGGCGAATGGGGGGGGGTGAAGTCAGTGTCGTTACAAGGTGTAGCAGCGGATGACAGACCGCAGAGTCAATTTAGAGTAGGCGAGTCAATTAAGGTTGTAATTCTTATGTGGGTAGGCTGTCAGATGGGTACCAATGTTTTTCACCGGGATGCAGGGAGTGTCTGTGAGTGCTAATAAGGCTATTACTGTGGGTTTGTACTGAATGAAAGGAGTTGACCGCTAATCGTTCAATATACTCTTGAATAGGTTCGATTTGAAGGTCTCTGTGAACGTAGGTGTTTATAATATACCAAGGAGCATTGATAATTTCTCGTAAAATTTTATTTCGCAGAATTAGTAACTGCTTAATATTGGTTTTAGCTGCATGTCCCCAGATCAGAGCTGCATAAAGGAGGGCTGGACGAAGTATGGAGCAATATAAAATGAATTTGTTTGTAGTAGATAAGTTGCTTCTTCTACCAAGAAGAGGTCGCATAGTAGGTGTGGTGATTTTAAATTTTTGTGCTACGGAGCGGAAAAGAGTTCCGAAGGTAAGTTTTTGATCTAGAGTGACTCCAAGGTATTTGGTTTCATTAATCCAGTCTATTTCTTCGTCAAATATCTCAGGGGTATTTCATATTTTCATTAGGAAAATTATTGCCTTGGTTTTATCAGTGTTAATTTTAATCCTCCATAGGATGAGCCATTTTTCCAGGCTTATGAGATAGTTTTGGAGTTGGTTCTTACGGCGATTGCTGTGCAGACTTTAGTAAGTATGGCGGTGTCATAGGCAAAGAGTGCAAGATGAACAGAAGGGTCTTTAGGGATGTCTTGCGTATAAATACTAAAAAGATATGGCGAAAGTGCCGACCCCTGTGGGATACCAGCTTTGATTACTCTGGTGGTTGAGTAAGCAGTACCAATTTTGCTTTAAAAATGATTGAATTATGTTATTCCGGTTAAGATATTTATGTCTTTAGTTAACCTACATGCAATAATTGTGGAATTATCAACAATTTAAAAGTTTTTTAAGTGCGGCTAAGCTTAATTTTTGATTCCCATGGCTGCTACGTTTGTTTACATTTGAAACTTAGAAGAATAGTGGATCTGTTGCCAATCTAGAGAAATTAAGCTTCAGAACAACAAAGGGACATCTTCTTTTATTATTGCGAATTAAATTATGCTTAATTCAATCTGGAATGAACATTTAAGTTATTAGCTTGTTTTGGCGTAGAAACTGTAATTTTAATTGTAAAAATTGTGTTTTTAATTGTTTTAACTGTATTTCGTGTTTATGTTTTTCTATATAGCTTTCAAATTTTAATGAAAATATTTTGAATTTTTAGGTATTTTTGCCTTGCCGCGAAGTGAGAAATGAACTAACTAGTAGCGCATGCGCATTAGCTAAGCGGCGCTGAATCGTTTCTGAAAACTGTTTCTTTTTTTTTTTTTTTTTTTATTTGTTTAATTTCTTTTATATATCGTTTTAGATTTATTATAGTATTTGAATAGAACTTGTGGTAATTCTTAAAATGATATAATTTTTGTGCACTCTGAGCTATAAAATGAATGTTAATGCTGTTAAGTGAACGTAGCGCCAATGTGTCGCTATGGTAAATAAATGTAGTGAACTTTAAAAAGTGCATTTATTCTATTGTGGTTTATGCGCTATCGACGAAGTAGATTTAATTCAAAATTCGTTTACTGTTAATTCAATATTTTTAAATGATGTGCGGGAAAATTGCGTATAATTTAATATTCCCTACAAGGAAGTGGTGTACACACCAGATTTTTTAATACTCTGTTTACAACAGGTTTTGAAACAACTAAGTGTAGCAGTACAAAATCCGGTGTATTTTGTTTTACCTCTTATCTGTTTCATTCACTATATGTGCGCAATTCTTGATATAATCTGTATCCATAACATTTAGGGGCTCCCATTTAGTTACATCAGATATTTAAACAAGCTAATGTAATTTTTTTTTTAATTCGCCCTTTTAATTTGCACATTGAAAATTTTCTTGTGCGCAGCCTAAAACAAGCAAAAGAAATACATATTTTGCAAAACGTAAAAAAATTATTAATATTAAATAATATTAAATGCAAATTTGTGTAAAATGGGGCATTAAAAAATTTGTAAAAACAATTTTAGTGGCGCCATCTATCAATCCGTAAAGTAACTACAAAGTTAATAAACTAGATCCCCTAATACTGATATGATTAACTAAGGAAAGACTGAAAAAAAAATTCTATACTCACACTTAATGCTTCGTAGGGAATTCTAAACTTGTACTGCTATGCTGCTTTTAATTTTTTTTTATATTTTGCTATTTAATTATACATGTATTTGGCGTAAGTACGAAGAAAATGATGCTTAATAATAAAGCTAAAAAGACAAAAAAATGAGATAGTAAGAACGTAATAGCAGAATTGTAGATTGCGTGGTCAGAAAGTAAAAGATTTCAACAAACACTTTTGGTTGAACATCAAAATCTTAAACAATTCAGATTTTTTAAAAAATTCTTCTTTTTTTGGCGAGGGGGGGAGTAGTTAACAACAACCCATTTTCAGAACTCCGTGTGGAAAATTTTTAGTTTGGAATACGTTCACTGACGGTTTTCCTCTTACATACATAATGAGTCAGATAAAATCAGTCAGTCTGAATTCATATTTCTTCCAACTGACTATTTTGCTGAATTACATATATTATATTTTAGTTTTTCTTTTAAAATATTACAAGTGCGCATACAAAGCTATTATATTTCGTATATAAATATCGGTTTTTCTTTCAGATTTAATTTTACAAGTACACTAAGTGACTGTTGTTTGTTTATTACACGATTGAAATTGATTATAATTCTTTTCAGACACAATTTTTGCAATTATGTCAAGTGATTATTTCCTAATCTTGGATCTTCTATTTAAAATGAGATATATTAACAAGCTGTCATATGATTGATGGAGAAATATTGTCAGATTTTTACTTCCTTGTACGAAGTAAAAAGGAAGTATTGTAATCGCAAAAAGTTTCAGGCAGCATATTTCAACGAAAATATCCATTTTGACCGCTATCGAATGCAATTTAACGATGTTTTTGCGTGATATCTGTGAGTAAGGACAGAATAAAATACTCTTTTCCTTCAAAAAAAAATTATAAACTGCTTTAAAATGAATTCTGAAGAGAAATTTTCCTGGCGTATGTACGAACGTATGTACGTACGTATCTCGCATAAGTCAAAAACGTGTAGCCTCAGAACGTCGAAATTTTGTATATAGGACTACTATACCATGTAGATGTGCACTTCGTATTTCGGTTGCAATCGACCGCACCAAACGTATATAAATATATTTATATATATATCTACTCTGT